TCGAGGAAGAAAACGTAGGCTCTTGTTGAGGTCCGGTCATTCTCGTCTTGGACGTAGTTCGCATCAAAATATCATGCAAGGAATTTTTCCTCCCTTGCTGCGAAAAAAATCCCCATGGAAGGTTGCTTGCTTAAGTATCTGAGGATGCCGTTGGCTGCAGCGTGGTGAGTGGTTTGAGGTGCGGACATATACCGGCTGATCATGTTGGTGACAAAAGCTATGTCTGCGCGTGTTTTGACCGCGTACAGGATTTTTCCAATGAGTCTGCGGTAAGCTGTGGCATCCACTGGAGCAGTCCCGGTGTCGCGGCGCAGTTGTAGACCTTCATTCAAGGAAACGTGACAGGGGCGACAATCTGAGTGTGCAAATTCTTGAAGAATCTTGTGAACAAACGATGTCTGGTGCAGTAACAGTCCGTGTGGTGTTCGGTGAAATTCTACACCAAGGTATTTGTGCACAGGGCCAAATCAGTCATTGAAAATTTTGATTTGAGGTCGTTGATGAGGCGCGTTACTGATTCTTGACTGCTGCATGTGAGGAGAATGTCATCAACATACAATATCAGGATAATTACGTGATAACTTATGTGGCAGTAGTAGAGGTTGTTGTCGGCGTTGCTACGCATGAGTCCACACTTGTGAAGTGCCGCATCAATTCTTGAGTACCATGTGAGTGGACTTTGCTTCAGTCCGTATAACAATCGACGAAGGCGGCAGACTAGATGTTTTGTCCTTTGATGATAAATCCTGGTGGTTGAGCGAGATAGACTTCTTCTTTCAAGACGCCATTGAGGAATGCCGTTTCTACGTCAAGATGATGAAGTGTCCAGCCGGCATGTGTTGTGATGCCAAAAAGGAGTTGTATGGTCTTCCACTTGACAACGCTGGCAAAAGTTTTGTTGTAATCAACGCCGTGCCGTTGCTCAAAGCCTCGTGCCACGAAAAGTGCTTTGTAACGTGGGGATTGTTCTGTACTCAAAGGCTTGAGTTTGAAGATTCAACGTGCAGTAATCGTTCTTTTTTCCTGGCGGAAGAGAGACGAGATCCCATGTCTCATTCTTGAGAATTGACTGGTATTCACGCTGCATTACAGCTATTCAACTGGGGTCATGGGCCACGTCTTCGTACTGGAGATCGTCACCGTCACTTGGGATGACGGCAGGTGGAACATCAGATTCGCAGAGCGCGGTGAAGTTTTTGAGGTGAGGTGGAGGCCACTAGTCCCGAGCTGAGCGACGAAGTGGCAGATTGGCTAATGGCTGTGGAGCCACGTTATTCTACGGTAATGTCGGAGGTTCGTCTGATAAGGTTGTGGGGTTGTGAACGTCCCACTGAAGATGTGAAGAAGGTGGCAATTTCTCGGAGATGGATGGCGAGGTGGAACTGTTAGAGGTGGTTGGTGTTAGCGGCAACTTAATTGGAGCTGTGGCTGGAAAGTTCCGAACATCGGCGCTACTCGAGATCTGCTATGCTGCAACTGCCTTGATTTCCGGTAGATCCACGTGAGTGGATTCTAGAATCCTGACGTCTTTGGATATGACTACGTTTTGTTGGTCCGGTTGGTAGCACTTGTAGCCTTTAGATTTGTCATCATAGCTCAACATGATACATTCTTGGGTGTGTGTGTCCCACTTGCCTTGATTGTGACGATGATTGTGGATGTATGAAGTATATTCAAAGATGCTTAGCTTGTCTATAGTAGGTTTGGTGCCCGTAAATAGCTCCTCTGGCGTGATATGCAAAAGTTGCTTGATGAAGCGTAAGTTGATTATGATGCATGCGGCTTGCACTGCCTCCGCCCAGAGAAAATGCAGCAAAGACTTCTCCATCAGTAAGCATCTAGTGATGTTCAGTAAGGACCGATTTTGACGCTCATCTACTCCATTTTGTTGCGGTTTCTGGGGTACGGTCAGCTGTCTCGTGATGCCGTGATTTTGGCAGTATTCGATGAAAGATTGAGACGTGAATTTTCAACCGTTGTGTGACCTAAGAGTCTTCATGTTTGATGTTTGAGCTTCCACCTCTGCATGAAAAACTTTGAACTTATCAAGCGCTTCATTCCTACGAAACAGAAAGTAAACGGATGTACTCCGAGAATAATCATCAATAAAAGTAACTTAGTACTTGGCCCATCCAAGTGAGATTGTTCGAAATGTGCCGCACACATCAGTGTGAATGAGCTGCTATGGTACTGTGGCACGATTGGTGAAAAGCTTTAGGATTTTTGTGCGAGATTATTTCCCTTGAAAACATGTCACACAAGGGCGGTCGATGATTCGAAGCGGCGGTAGTCCCCGAACAACTACTACTCTTATCATCCTTCTAATACTCTCAAGGTGATAGTGATCTAGCCTTAAATGCCAGATGTCGGATGATGTAGATCGTTCCATTGTAACGGAATTGATTTCGGGTTGGATCACTGTTTCTACTTCAAGTTTGTACAACCCCCTTCCATTTTTCCTTGGTGCAAATGCTACCAGCTCTTTGGTATGACGGTTGCAAATTAAATAGCCTTCTGAGAGGAATTCGACATTGTGGTCATGATCGGCAATAATTCCTACAGATAGAAGATTTTTCTTAATGGAGGGAGAGTAGACTACTTGGGATATTGTGTGGACGTCACTAGCAGGGAAGAGTATGTCAACATCTCCGAATCCGAGCACTTCATATCCTTGACCTCCCGCTGATTTGACGCCAGAGCATTGTTTGCTTTCGAGGCTGCAAAAGACTGACGAGTTGCCACTAATGTGGTGTGTTGCCCGAGAGTCGAGATGCCAAACGGACAAATTTTCACTTCGTTGAACAAGATTCACTTATGTTGGTTGTAGGAGTTGGTCATTCAAAGAATTGGGGCTATCAATCTCGACCATGCACGCTTCTACCTCTGGTCCGTTGTTCAAGTCGATGAATTATTCGTTGTTGTCTTCAGACTCTTCGGCTTCAACTGAGTTGACTTGGCGGGATGAGAGTCGTTTCTTCTTGTCGAGAAGACGGAACTCAATGTCTTTGACTCTGTCTACCATAGATTTCAGTTCACATTCTCTTTCAATATGTCCATCTTGAAGACAAAAATTGCATACCTCCACTCGCGGTGTGTCAAGGTGTGCCTTGTACCTGAGTTGGTAGTTGTTGCCGATATTGCGTCCTTGCGATGTTTGCACCATGGGAGTGATGATGAGAGTATGACGGTGAATGTTGGCGTGGAGTATTTGCATTCCTCCCAAATGTGGGAGTCGGTCGGTGCTGGTAGTTGTTATGGCTGGACCCGCTGGAGTTGAAGCTGCTAGACTGCGTGCTACGGTGGAAGGGTCTTCTGTCGCGGTAAACGGCCAGAGCTTCAACACCTTTGTCTTCCGAATCCATGTTGAGGAAGATTTCTTCGCTCAGGAGTCTTGTTTACAATGCTTTGTACTCGGGTAGATTCTCGCCGTTTAGAAGCATTCTCTTGCAAATCTTGTACTCCTTGGGCAGGTGTTTCAAGGTGTAATAGACGACAATCTCCTCTGGCAATGAAACACCAACTTCCTCAAGCATGTCAGCAACATTTTGAATCTCAGTCAGATGTGCATCCATGGAAATGTTGTCAGTCTTTCTTAAAGCAAAGAACTTTTCTATCAACTGGTTCTTTCTAGGACCGCTAGATGTTTCATATCTGCATTTCAAAGCAGTCTAACACAGGTATGGGTCTTGGTATCTCTTCAGCAGTGTGAGATTCTTAGCATTGTTAGTGAACATGCTAAGAACCCTAGCACTTGCTGCAGATTCACCCGGCCTCATGTGTGGTGACGGTGGTGTGACACAATAATCAAACAGAGAGTCCTTCTGCAGTGTGTGACGCATCCTGTAGGACCAAACTCCGTAATCATTAGCTCCCTCGAAGTGATAAGCTTATTGGATACTGGGATCTGAGTACAAGATGCGTGTAGCGCCATCTCCCTGTGGTAGCGCACTATTTGTCATTTCAGGATCTCCCGAATCTGCAGATGCAGGTTGGTTCACAGCAAGAGTGTACTGGGCTGGACATGTTGATGAAATGACAAGCAGTGTCATCAAGATACTTGGCGAAAGAAAAAAAGAAACATGGTTGATGACCACTCCTATTTTACTCCGTGATCAGACTCCCTGAGTTTGGGACTGAAAGGAATTGGTCCTAGGAAAGAGTCTCTGCTACCATGTTGAAACACAAATGGTGCACTATACTCACAAAGATCACTGTGAGGGAAACATATGGTTCAATTAACTGAAGGTGAAGGAACACATCAATACCCGAGCAAGGACTGGTGGGACCAGAGAATGTTACTAAAAACTAGGAGGAGATAAGGCCAAGTGAGCACCCATTGTTCAACCGTTAAGAGTGTGAAAATGCACTCAACCTGAAGGAAAATTGCTTGACGTGAACAAAAACAAGAGAGTAGAGCTCCGGCAATGAGCACGACTTGACGCAGTAGAGGCTTTGGTTTCTTGGTTCTTGGTTGAGTGTCAAAGGGAGCTCGATCATATGTATCATGCTACGACTCACAAGTGCACATGGTTTTGTAGTTGACAAAATTCATTAACACATGGTTTCATTGATGTGATTTAAAGTCAATTGCTCAAAACGTTGACATCCATTAATCTATTATCATACTTCATTCTTTTTTCCCAAGTAGACTCAAGGGCTCAATTTTGACTAGAAACTTGTAGCCTATCACCATCCCCCCGGATATAGCCCAAATTGTCGGAGCAATTGTATGTGCTTGCCCTACGGCCCCTAGGTCTTGATGGCAAAAGCCATCTTGTACCTCTCATCTTCTCCAACATATGCCATGACAACTCTCTCTGATTAAAATTGGCATCGGATATCAAAACATCTATCAATCATATCATATGTGATTGTGCAAGTGATAATGGTCTCATATAATTTGATCCAGCAAGATCTAGCTATTTGTATTGAAGATAAATCTTCTTTTGATGAGTTCATTACATGTAGAACACAACATCTCAATAATAAATTGATGGCAATGGTTTTGATGGCACCTTCATCACTCAGTCTTGAATACATTCATCATTGTTACTGGAAACCATATACATGAGCCTGATCCTCAAATTGAACTAACAAAAATCAACTGTTTTCGTCTACCTGTTGTCTAAACCTGGCCGCTACTGAACAAACTCCATGTTTCACTCATGGATTGAAGGGCTGTTGATCTCGAGCTTTATCTTTAGGACTTAGTCTCCAAGGAGATACTGTCGATCAAATCTGGCCTGCTTTTCTGCAGCCAACTTCTCAAGTAGAAGTCATGGGGGATTGCCGAGGAGCAGGTCTGAAGAAAGCTCGCAAAGACTAGTGATCTGCAACAGAAGCAGCTTGATCTATAGAATGTCATGAATCTGATGCCGGGCACAGAGCATTGAGCCAGATATGCGCATTCATAAGATCCACGAAGTAATGGTGCGGCTTTGCAGGACGACCTCTCATGCCGGGAGGTCTGCCATAATGCCCGCCGTCGCTGTACTCATTCGTATAATGCCAAGGAAATGTGAGATCGAATGTGTCGACGAACATGACCGGAAGCTCATCTCGCACCTGGAGGAGCTTCTCGACCATCAGTAGATTGTACGTCTCGAGTTTACAGGGATTGCCTGGCATTTGCCGAGAAGTGCCTGCAGGGGTGACGGTGTTTCTCCAGATAAGTGTCGGCTTTCGATCCGCGGTGATATTCTTGTAGAAGTTCTTCCACCAATCGACGGTGCTGTCCACTTGCTCGAGATACGATTTCAAGTTGTGACTTCCATCGTGTAATCCTGAATTCATGATGATGGTGTCCGGAGCCCAATTCTGACCAGAAAAGTGAGATCTGATTCTCTCCTGGTGATCCTTGTGCATGATCGTGTGGAGACCCTCTCCATTGAACCGATCGTCGTTAGCCCCATTGAACATCATGCTCGCCCGAAAGCCTTGCTCCAAGCGATTCGGGTTGATGAACAGCCTCTCGTAAGTGCGATCTAGAGTGAAGTCATTGATGGTAGATTTGGACCCAGGGATTTTCCAATCGAGAATGAACAACGCTATGTTACGAATCGTGTCTTGGAAGTTGGAGTCCCCCCAGATGAGCCACCACCGTCGGTCCAGACAGCTCCAAGCTTCGTCTCGTCCGAAAATCTTGAAACTGCAGTGAGCTGAATACTGCCAGCCATTGCTCTCCAGCCGTCCCACGGGCCCAAAGCACCATGGCTCCTCGCACAGATAATGCTCATCCGGCAGACACTTGAATCGCTTCTGCTCGTCGGGTTCACAGACATCATTGAACCAGCTGCGAGTCCATCTTCCGGACCAGGTGGGACGGAGAAAATCCTCCTTCGTGCAGCGAGTCAGATTCTTCAGGGGCTTCGCCTTCCTGCTCGCCTGATCCAACTCCGACGAGAAAAAGTGGTCATCCGATGGCTCGAAGAGGTGGATTTCCTGCTGGAGTACCACATGAGGCGCTGGACATTCTCTGCACAGGAGATCCATTCCGTGCCAATTGCTGAATAAGATGGAAACCTCCAAATCGAAGACTCCGGACCACCGTGAGGGGACGAGAAGCTCGAGGCCGTAAGTTCCATTGCCGTAGTCCATCGTCGGGAGTCTCGATCGATAGTGCTCGTTGTGCAAGTCCACCTCGAAGTAGTCCCCTCCAGCACAGCGCTTCTTGCCATCTTCGGAGTATGCCCCGAGAATTAGCACATGCTTAATGTTGGTTCTCAGCTGGATTTTGCCCCCCACGGGCGCCGGAAGATTCTCCAGTCTCGTGAAGTTGGTCGTCACATTGTGGCAGTCAAGCGTTCCATTCAGTCGGAGCAGATTCTGCAAAGTGCTCGTATAATTGCTCGACTCGTCCACCAGAATATTAGAGTAGTTCAATGTCGTCACGTGATGACTTCCTGAGTTCTGGGTTTCCATGTCGTTTAGTTCCACATCCGTCAAGCGTGATGCGCTGTTGAAGAAGGTCACGATTGCAGCGGCCATTGAGAATGCCAGAATGACCACGAACTTGTTATTTTCACAGCAAGTTTTGCGAACTGGATTCGATGAAATTTGGCCATGCTTGGACGAACGACTCATCACTACAGAAGCAAGATCTGCGCTGCCGATCAATTTGACATTATCATCATGATCCCACCAGATAATTTGGCTCTGCCTTCAGCTTCAGAGCTCGAGGCACAAGTGTACATGCTTCTCTCTGCGAACTATCGACGGATTCTTGAAGTAAATACATCCCGAGGATAACAGACCGAAATGAACGATCTATGAACGATGTCCTAGTACACACTCCTGTCTGCCACGACCTCTCAAATATCGACTGAACAGATGATTTGACTACCGAGTCAAGACTTCTGGGTGAAACAAGATCCATTGGGCTTGCATAGGTCAATGTATGCACTCTCGGATTGAACTGCTGAACTTGCTTGTTCACATAAGCCCACTCAGATAAAAAAGAAATGTCCGCATGTCGTGCAATTCGAGAAAGTTTTCTTGAGGGAAAAAAGAGATGCTCTTGGAGCTCGATTCGTCGGATCCTGTATTTGTATTTCCATGTTCTTAGACCTCAGAGAGACTGCCTTTTGGCTCGACCTAAAGAATCTGAGAAGACCATGCAGATGAGGTAGAACGACGTGAGATTTGACTCCCAATTAAAGAAACAGTAGCGCAGGAGTGAGTCATAGTAACAGCTCTCCGCAGTCGTGCCCTGGTCTCGAGGGCATACGGAAGAGATTTCGCGCTCGCGAACATCTGTCATCGATTATATCTCACAGAGCCGACAACCATTGTGCAAAATATCTGGATGTCAGCTGGTGCAACAAGTCGATCCCGAATCACGCTTCATTCAGGAAAGTCTATTCTTAATTCATGTGACGGAGAGAAAACATGTGAACTCGAGATCGACGTGCTGTTTGTGCGCGGGAACGAAGGCAATAAGATATTAACTCTCCCGTGATTAGCCGGTCTGTATGACTGGTGACGGTCTTGAATGAGTCCACGGAGCCTACACAATGAAGGATAATCAGAGCAATGTATCATATCGAAGCAGGTGTGTTCACTGGTTCCATGTTCGAAGTCTCTCATTTCGGTATGAGCGAAGTTCACGTCGAGTTCTGAAGCTGCATCGTCTCGTCAATCTCCGTCAATCTCCGTCAACAATTCAGAACCTGGCTAGACATGTTTTCGATTCTTCCAACAGAAACCCGAAATCGAGTCGAAACAGATTTTATCCAGAGGGAATGAATGACTCTGAAATTCTGAATTAATGCGTGATGCCTTTAAGGCTTTTGAAACTTTGGATGGACGAAACTAGCGACTCCTTGTATTCTCCAGCCGATAGAATGTTCTTCAGAGAATCTTATAAGAGGTCGTTCCTGCAAGGCGTTTAAGTCAGGAATGCATTTTGTTAAGAGCTTGAAATCGATTTAGTCGTCCTAATGATTAGAATGTGCATGGACCTGCAATGTACGTGCACCATGGCGGTGCTTACGGACGATTCTTGTTGTCTACATAAAACCTTGTCCTACGACGCAGGAGTAACGCAGGAGTGTTTGTACTTCAGAATTCGCAGCGAATATGCGAGCATTCTGGGATCATTCTCATTCGAACTCTGGAAATAATTAGACATAAATAACATAGCATATTAAGGCTTTGCTGGCAAGGTTCAGGTTGTAGTCCACTACTTGCTGAAGGTTTTTACTCTTGAGACCGATTTCCATGAAAGGTGGAGAAAAAATAGTTAATTACACTGCAATCATGTGTCGAGATCCTGATTCCAGGCACGTCGTTGCACAACAGAGATGCAGGACACGTTCCCATAATTAACTATTGAAAGAGATTGGCACGTCTGCATCGCCCCGCGTCATGTAAAGAGTGAACGGAGACGTCAGGAATTTGTCCCTACTGCTCCCTTGAGCATTGGCTTTGGATCTTCTTCTCGAGTCCCTCGCTGCTTCGCTACATGCATGCACTCGTCGGTCTCGGTGAACGAGGCAAACCTGATCGCCTGAAATCTGATCCATCTTTTCAGATCCTGAACACAATGCAAGTGTAGGAATATCGTGAACTTCAACTGCAGATCCCACTGAATCATTCATGTTTCAGGAGGGCAATGAAGACTTAGCAGGGGGATGCAGGATCACACACTTCTCGCTGCATGAAGAGTATCTTGTACCTCTCGACCTCTGGACCTCCCTTCTCGATTCGATATCCAGATATGAAGTTCCAACATCTGACAAATTGCAATCGCTTGGACTTAACACGGTGATTCATGTCTGAGTGCTCTTTTCTTTAAAAAATCGTCGTGTACAGCCATCCCTCGTTCCTCTTGCTATATTTAAACACGACCTCTAGAGCTTCACCACAATCGGCAGATTGAGAAGGAATCCGACAGCTCGATGTCGTCGGTGTTTAGATGATGCAATCTCCACATCTTAGTCGGCACGTGAACTCAGAAGGGGAGCTAAAAAAAAAACAATCTGAAAAGAGTAGGAACTGAAATCTGGAGAGGTACGATCACTCGTGCTGACGCTGAATCCTGCATTGCAAGATAAAAGCACATTCTCCGTCCAATTTCTCACATCGAAAGGTTAGGAGAGTGGATAATCTTGCGACGTTCGCACTGGACTCATAAATGATCGATTCAAGTATTGCCAGTACCGAGGGCGGCATAATCCTAATCCCATCGGTACGACAATCTCAGGTCGAGCAGCACGCCAGCAAGTCCTACACGGACTCCCATTACCTTGGACGAGTTCAAGTCAGCGACTTTCCGCACAAGGTACAGTACAGCTGTACCTTGAAGATCAGAGGTTCTATAATGGAGCGCGAGTGCTTTACTCTCCTGCTGCCGCACTTAAGGCGCAGAGACAAAGTGGACGGGACAGCAGCAGCAGCTCGAGTGAGATCGACGCTTGCGCTCGGTTTCAGTCCTCTGCACTGCGCATCTAAAAGCTCAGCCCGTCCACAAGCTGCAGGGTCGACCTCGAAGCTTTGACTGACGCAGTCGACTGTCGATCATCTCCAGTACAGACTGTGACTTCGCTCGGCCTATACAGCTTTAGGGCTCCAAGCGAATCTACACATCCCAATCACTTGGCGTTCGTTCCTTCACTTCGCGCGGAGAATGGCTGAATTACAGGCTGTTGAGCGCTGCATTTGTGGAGAGATGCTAAATTACAGGCTGTGATGGTGGTGCCTGCATCCGTGGGGAGAATCGCGGACTTACAGGCTGGTGAGTGAGTGCTGCATTTGGGGGCAGAGACTATGAACCTCAGACTCTGCAGCCCTGCTTAAATCAGATCCAGACCCCGAGTGTCAGAGCTAGAGCTAGAGCTAGAGCTATCGCTGAGGTGAGGTGATGGACCAGGTCCACGGGGGAGAGCATCTGTGAATGTTGAAGCTTGGTCGGCAAACACGAGGAACCGATCGTGACCATTTTTCTCGTGACATTGGGGAGCAGTGTCCTCGCAGTAGACGCAATTCGACATGAAACCGAGGTCGTTTTATTACAGTTTTGTGGCACGGGGAACGACCATTTTGGCAGAGTATTGCGCTTCGTCTGTCGATTTTCGGAAAGCTGCACTCGCATGTCTGGCGGAGGTACCTCCGGATCAGAGCGTGTACTCTGTCACTCGTGGACCTCACACGTTCAACTGCATAACAGGAGGGGGATACAACTATTTGGTCGTGGCAGATGAGGACATCGGGAGCCAGATACCTTTAGTGTACCTGGAGCGCGTGAAGGGGGAGTTTCAAAGGAGCTATGGCGGAAGCAGGGCGAGCAAACTGGCCGCGCACAGCTTGGACGATCAGTTTGGTGTTGTGTTGAAGATGCAGATGGACTTCTGTATGGAGAATCCTCAGGAAATGGACACGAACATTCAGTCGAAGCTGAGATCCCACGTTCTGGAAGTCAAAAGCATCCTGATGGACAACATTGATCAGATTCTCCCTCTGGCACGCACGAATACTGATGCCGACGCCATCGCGGTGCGCGCCAAGGAATTCTACGAGAATCAAAAGCGCCGTAGAAGGAAGAACAGGTGTAAGATCGGTATGATTGTGCTCTTCATCTCTCTGCTTTTGGGCATTCGCCTGATCCATTACCTCGGGGAATGAATGCATCTTCTGTCGACCGTCCCCACACATTGCCAAGGAGACGTGAATTTCCTGGCACTCATGAAGCTGCCGGCGAGTCAAGCCGCTGGCCCACAGCAGGTCTGCAACCATCTGAATCTGAATCCAAGCTTTGCACACACACTCACTCACTGATGGTCGACAAACAGAACAACAGAGTTGTTTCCATCAGCAGAGGAATCTTGAGAGGCAGATTGCGGTCAAATCGAAAGGGAAGGACATGCCGGATTGAAGATGATGAAGATGATGAAGACCCGCATAGCCATAGGATCCTGTGGCTGTAAACTAAGTACTGTACTGTAATGATGGAGAAAGAAAGAAGCCCCTGGACATGATGGGGGCAGAGTGACCGAGAAGTTGCAGTACGATCTTCTCATGCTCACGATTTTGTGGCTCCACACGCCAATCGGAGGAAACTGGGCCTGAGATTTGCTGCAAATTGTGTTGAATTTCTCTTCTTGTTGCACGTCAGGTGAGTACTGAATCTGACCTCGTGCATCAGTTTATCTTGTCTTCCAACAATCTTATATTTCCTCCTGTCTTCGCCAACTCCTCGACAGTGGGCGCGTCGTGAGTGAAGTACAGGTTTTCACATTTATCTCGCCCAGAGATTGATTACCCACCCCATGCCAGCAAGCTTGTAAATCTCGGGTAACGGCATCAGATGGGGTGGCCGGACTCCTTCGTAGAAAGGGATGGAGATTAATGATCCCCGTAGCAGCCTGGTCTAGCTAGGCTCAGCAGCTACTCTGCTTAAGCGATCCAGAGATTCAGAGATAGGATACAATTGAAAGCCAGTGAGTGAGCCTTGTGGCCACAGCCAGTCAATGCAAAGACGAGAGTACTTCTCAGCCATTCCAGCATATTGATATGGTACATGTTTCTTGTTCATGGAAAGTCTCGTTGATTCTGGATCTGAATGTGTGGCAACGTTGAGCATCTCGATTCTCAAAACATAAAGTGCACATAAAGCGCAGTTATCAAGCATTTCATTACCAGATGGAATACGATATTGGAGGGCTTGTGCACGCAGGATAGGATTCCTCAGCACCTCAGCATGCTGTACTTCGAAGTACAGCATACTGAGGGATGTGCACTTTGAGAATTGTGTAATTAAGATGTTTTAATTGCTCGATGGGCATCTCAACTAGCAGTCACTTCTTTTGTCATGTATCACTGAGTGCAAAGAGATGTTCACCATGTTCCTCACACAATGCAGTCTTTCTTCCAGTTGCAGAGCAACCATTGTTTGGGGTTTGGGAGAGAAATGAATGTGAGAAGCTCTGAGCTAGTTGGTGAGGCTGGAGGGAGCGATGTTGTAAGAGAGCGTAGAATGACCGTTGCTTTCCATGTTATAGTTCTGAATCTACAAGTTTGCTCCACTTACCTACTTGACAAAATGACCACCTTGAACCAAATGCATACGACGAACGAATCTTGCAATTACATGTATGGAAATAATTATTGCAAACATTTACGCATATAGTTATTTTACTTGACAACCTAATGATTTCATAATTTTGGTTCAAAAATTGATCATATTTTTGCATTGATAAAATTATTAAGTCTTGTCATATTATACAACTTTTTACACATTTATTTCAACATATTTTTTGTGAATTTATCATGCAACAACAATTTCCAGAATAACTTACAGCGTAAACATTGATTTTAATAAGTAGAGTAGCCATTAAATTAAGTTATATCTATAATTTAGAATTGATTTTACTTTTATTTTGATTAGTTTTTTATCATTTTAATTTTTAAAAATTATTTATAATCTAATAATATTGTCGATATACATTGTGGACATGATAGCAAAGAAGATTTTATTAGAAGTGAATTTATGCTTTGAAAGCTCTAATTTTATTAACTGTAATTATTTAAATCAAGATAAAATTTGAGATTTAAGAAAATTTGCACTATTTATGTACGACACAAAGATATATTGACTCATTGACATTTGTGTTCTTCTGGACATAGTCTCACTGTAGCGAATCATTTAGTTCTATTGTTGATTCTTTATCAGTGTTTCCTTCATAGAGGATTTTTATCAATTTATTCATAATAATCAATGTATACTTCTCATGATGTATATAATGATATTAAAATTTATCTATCAATTTTATATAACATTTTTTCATGTTCTTTACATATGACATTCTTGCATCATGTGAAGAAATTCTTTTTTCAACCTCTGCATTTCTTGAACTACTTTGCAACCAAATTATATGAATCTTTTCAAATGCATATCATAATGTGATTTATATGAATATGTAAATGAATTCGTTTTTAGGCTTGCAAATAATTCATTTGAAATTGGAAAATTTAGAGTTATCTGATCTTTACCCTAGACTTTGAACTATGTAGAGTTTGAAGTCTTCTATCTTGAACTAGACAGGTTTGTGACATTTTATAAAAGATACTAGTATTATAAGTTATACTTTATTAATTATAACAAAATATAATAAAATAAACTGGTATATTTATTATTCATAATATTTTATGTTTTTCATATATTTTAGAAAAAGTAGAAATTTAGTATATGATATACAGTTACAATGTTGTACAGAAGTCTTGTAATGTTCGTTAAAGTATGACATATCTCGTTGTGATGCTATGTGACCTATTCTATGTTAACCGTTTCTTTCATCCTTGTTTGGCTTGACTGGGTCTTCCCCTCATTCTTTTCTTACTTTTCGACATCCGTTACATAAAAATTAATTTAAGATCTGATGTTGACAAAAATAAGAGCGGCAGAATCTGCGTGCGAGTCAATAATGTGGAGAGTGGGGAGCTCGTAAGCTGAGTAGATTGGAAACCCACACAAGAATTAGGAAAAGTCGCCAAATAATCAAAGCAGGATGCGAATCTACGTGGACCTGCCGCCCTTGGCAATGAACGAGGTACACAGCTCATTTAGCACTCAGTTAGTACAAACTCTGATCTGCCTTTGAGGTAACGGCCTTGGAATTATTGGCAGTGGAATCTCATTTCCGTCATTGGAAAGTGCTTAGACAACAATCCAGCTCTAAAGGCAAGTTGAGTTCGACAGCGATGAAGATCGATCTGAGATGCATATTGTCATACGGAAGATAAAATTAGATATTCATATATGAGTATAATAATGAATATTTATCTATTTGACTTCTCAGGCTCTACCTATACTAGATTTGATTATTGCGATACCATTGGGCCTAGCCTCTCCATATCCTTTTCCATTTCATCCTTGTAACGTCCTACCTATATTGGACTTTATCATTGCGATACCATTAGGCCTAGCCTCTCCATACCCTTTTCCATCTCATCCTTGCAAGGCTCTCTACCTATATTAGATTTAATCATTGCGATACCATTGGGCCTGGCCTCTCCGTATCCTTTTCCATTTCATCCTTGTACGGCAGATGGTCTTTGCATACTTTTTCCATTTACACTCAGGACGCATTTGTTCCGTGCAACGGCTGCACCCCTTCACAAGGCAAGCATACATAAGTCAACTTGCTGTGAGGTGGCAGCCTCCAGACAGCGCTGGTTCCACGAAAGACGACGGTGGACTCAAAAGTCAAGGGACTGGCCTCGTCGTCCTACTGAAAGTGGATCCAAGACTGGAAGGTGGAGATAAGACACCAGAGAATGATACGCCCATTATTATGGTCCTCACTCGCTCGGTGGTGGTACGTAAACCAGAACCTGCCCACACTTGGCCCTCAGGTCCCTTACCCAATGAGAAAAGTATACAGCAAATGACATCAGTGCATGCATCAGAAGGTCGTTCAGTAAGCTGTAGTTACGTGCAAGGGTAGCACAGAATTTATGGCTAGTGCAGTAACATTTATGGAGGACTCTCGCTGTCAGAGTATCTGTTTGATAAATTTCGTGTAATCAGCCTTCAAATGACCTCTTTTCTTTTCTGTGAAAATTATCTAACACATTATCGAGTTACTCTACACACATGTTTTAGATTATTACTCTTTTGAAGTCTCTATCCTCTTGCTCATTTTTCTCTTGAACGGGTGTAGGAGTTGAACATGAATGAATGAGAGGAGGGGCGAGACGACAGTAGGATACCAGGCTAGTAACAGATTTTTGACACGTTGCATTGTTCTACTGTACTCACCAAGGAGAGTGAAAATACATTCCTTTTCAATTAAAATCACATTCATGACCAATATTTGCATGCTTAACGTGCAATTTATACTTCGCAAATTAAAAGATATTTTATCTTCAATCACACCTCTAGTTTTTAACCTAGGTATGATATTGAAGATGACTTAGGTGTATAGAATTATCATCATTGTTTCTTATGCTTGTTACACATTGCATTTGTTGAACATTTATTATATGTGATTTTTTTAATGTAAAGAATCATGATTGTAACTTATTGCATTATCCTTTGAATTGTTTGCTGACTCGCCAAATGTTTCTTGATTCATCTTTTTGAAGTTATGTTTTAAGCATTTGAATTGTCATTGATACAAAAATCATGATTGTCATAGAGATCTCATCAGATTAAAAGTTTTTCTTTTGTGATATGAAATTTAACACAATGATAATTTCTTTCATAATCTCTTGAAAAGTGATATTTTAGCATAAATAAAATTTATATTAATACATATTAAATTGATAAGAGGAGCCCTATTGCTAAGTTTTTCTTTGAAAATGATGTAATATTGTAATTACGCAAAAGAAGTTGACGTGGATTTTTTTGTTAATTTCTCAATGAAACATGAGAAATATTTTGTAATTGAAGTTATAGCACTATTTTTTGATTTTTTACACTGATCAAATTGTGATTTTACAATCAATCAAACACATGTGTCAATAATATTCAATTACAGATATAAATTTCAATTGTAATGATGATGCCACTTCCAAACTTAAAAAGTATTGTGATTTACCACAAGGGATTGGACTAATATTTACCATTTTGACATGTGTCAAAGAACTAAAGTACCGATATCAGGACTTATCTACGAGATAGATCGGAACCAAGTACTGTAATGTACCAAGAAAGTACGATAGTGGTAAAGTAATAAATCCGAGTAAAAAAGAGTTCGGGAAGACCCATGTCGTACGGGTTTTTTACCACAGGACTATTATCCACTGGACCGAAAGGTATGTGTCTGGAAGTCTGCCAACGATTATCCGCCCCGAGGGGGAGGAAGAAATTAGAGAGGGATCGATAGTCAACGCGTAGAAAGTGGTCGAGGTCCAGCTGCTGCTGCGTGCGATTCTCGATCTGTTTCAGGATCGAGGAAGAAACCCAATTCAGGATTAGATCTCACTTTCCGTCTTCCGCAATCAAGGATCCGTGAGAGGCGAGCGGCTGCACATTCTCGAGGCCTCAGCGGATTGCGGGCGAGTGGGCCAGAGGCAGGCCCCACAGGCAGCGATGCTCGTGCTTCTGACTCAGTCAGCGGCTCCGACTTCTGCTCAGAAATGCCGCGAATGTCTGGCGACTGCGCTTCATGACAATCCTTCCCTCCAAGTGGATAGCTGGAAAGGGAAGGCCGCATCCAGCCGGACCTGGATGCAACCGGACGTGAAGCCAGGGAGCGGCTCGGGGCTTGGACTTGATAGTATCACAGCATATGAAGAATTGATTGATTCTATGCCATTCATCATCAAGGGATCAGTGGCAGCTTGGAAAACTTGGCAGAAACAAGAGGAGTCTGAATCGTCGGCATTTCCCAGTAGACCGAAGATCGTGGTCTGTGCTCAGGCTCGAAGCTCGACCACTTACGGACAGTGATGTGATTCACGCGGCAGCTGATTCTGTATTTTTGAATGCCGGCTTTGCGATAAGCCATCTTGTGCAATGAGTGCCCCTGAGAATAGGAAATGCTGGGGACGAGACAAGCAGAAGCTGTTGGACCTTTCGCTGCAGCACTTATGGATGGGGTCGTAGTTAGGATGCTGGCCTCTGCAACTGTTTCGCAGAATAGATTGAAGCCAATCTTAGTACGCGCAACTCTGAACTCTTGTTGTGACTCGACGGATTTCCTGCTCGGTCCGGCCTGTTATCGTGCTAGACAATGTTAGTAAGTAGTTCGATGTCCAGGGCAGTGAGTGAGTGAATGAATGCATGCCTGTCCGCTCATACATTCTCTAGGCTCTCCAGCAGACGTGGTTGACTTGAGTCCAGATCTGGAGTTGCGTCGGGTTCCGAGAGATGGCTCCAAGTTTCTCTCGGGTCCAATTCTGACGGACGGGGAGACTCGCCAGCTCAGAAGGTAATAAGCTCTCATTCTTCCTCGTCCGCCTCGATCCTCTGTACTCACTGCCTTTTCTCACGACACCCATGCCTGCGGTGGCAGAGGTATCCGTCTCAAACTCCTCCCTCCGTTACTGATTTGTCAGTGAATCCCGTCCTTCGAGACATGGTACTCTCTCGTCGAAAAAATAAGTTCAGACACTCCTGTCTTGTGAACCTTTTCCACTCGCTCTGAAATCTGTCGAACGAAAGACCTTTCTCTCCATGTAGTGACTCCGAAATCAACTTTTGGCACTGTCTTCAGAATTCCCAGCTTATAAGTTGTCTTTATATTGTACAGAATGTCGATCGGGAACTCGTCAATGTCAACTAGAACGGTTCAATTTACAGTTTTGCTGCTCGGATCTAACACCCTTTTTTCTGTAGACATCACAGGCAGAAGAGCTCCAGCTCTGGTCCTTTTCGTTGGTCAAGAATTTCGTCTCAGCAGGAGCTATCGGTCCTGTCATTGGACTGCACGCTGTAGCGTTGGTGGATGACGGTGGAAAGCAGCATGGTGCAACAGAGGGGCTGAGTAGATAGATTGCAGGCAATCTTAGCGAGCGCTGCTGTGCGGGACGGATTTCGAATCTAGCGTATCGAGAGTATTTCACTTCTCGGCTCAGAATACGTAGTTGGCTAGAGTCTGCCTGGGCTTGCAGTAGCCATCGACAGCAGTGAGGACCGTGGAGTTATAGAGTAAAACTCAGAATCTGTGGCTGGTGCATGGACATTCCATCCTCGACAGGACGTGCGAGTTTCGGGATTGTCACTCCTCCAAGAGAGATGCCAGCTCTTCGACGATAGCATCGACGTTCAGAGCATCGACCTGTGCAGGCCGAAACTTCAAGCTACTCGTCGGTCCTCGAGGTGCAGCGATGATGACGTCGACGGCATTGCTTCAGGCGACGCTGCTGCTTTTGTGTATTATCTGCTCATCTGCCCAGAGCCCAAGTGAGTAGCTCCGAATCTCACTTTGCCTCCCAACCATGCGTCGTACTGTCTGTGTCGTTGGTGTGGGTCTTCAGGTGCTCGCCATATCCAGTCCCTCAACCGTGTGCAAAAATTTGACATTTGCTATTTCTCGACCAAAATTTTGACTAGGACGGAACACTATGAGGATTGTTCGATTCCTAAGCCTGAATCTCTGTCGAAAAATGCCACCACCAGAGCTGTCTCCATCCATTACACCGTCGATTCGTCTCGGCATCTCTGTTGGCCGAAGTCACTCGCAATTTCGCATGTCCATAATGTTCCGACATTTCCGAACGTGCTGTGCAGATTTCTTGAGTATCGACTGCGGGGCGACAATCAATTATACAGATTCGAAGGGCATTGATTGGGTCACAGATGATGGCTACATATCTACGGGTCTGAACGTGGAAGTGGGTCTGTCAGCTGTACCCGGTCAAGAACACTACTCAACATCCAGATACTTTCCTGATTCTCGGAACAAGCACTGCTACGTGGTGCCAGCCGTGGCTAGAACTACGTATCTGATCAGAGCTGTAGTTCTGCACGGGGGAGCCAGTGTGTTTGGCTTGCCAGTCAAATTCTCCGTCACCGTGAACAGCAATGTGTGGTTCACTCGGTCAGTCACTTTGAACGACCCTACTGTCAACACACCGGTGGTAAGCGAGTGCATAATTTTCAGCACGAAGAAGACTATCGATGTGTGTGTGGTCCGAGGTCCAGACGGTACACCATATCTTTCATCTTTGGAATTTCGGGTGATGCCGCCGGGCACATACGTCACAGCAGAAGGAGCTGACAAGTTCATGGAGAATATGTGGAGAATGAACACAGGGCCAGGAGCAAATGATCAAGTTCTTGTGAGGTAGGAGAATGACTCTCCGGTTTCATGTCCTCAAATGCTCTTCAGGTTGTCGTAATTTTGTTGGGATGTGCATCTTGGTGTATCATTCTTCTGAAGCTCTTTGTTTTGTGTGGAGGAATGGAGTGACTCGATGGTTCTAAAACTTTTTGAGTGACAGGTACCCGGATGATCAATATGATCGCTTCTGGTTCCCAGCAAGTCCAGCCGATTTCCCAACACCTGGCCTGATTTCGAATACCACAGCGCTTCAATTTCCTGAGACTTACGGGATTGGGTACAACATACCACCCGAGGCGGTACTGAAGGACGCATGGGAAGGACCTGATCTCTCATGGTCATGGCTTGTGAACTCTGATACAACGAGGATATACCTTTCGCTGTACTTTCAAGAGATTAGGAAAAACGTCACTGTCTCGACGGAGAACCCGGTCGGCATTTACATCATCATTGATGGAGACCCGATTACAGTGTTTGAATACAACATTACCGAAAGGTTTCCCAGATCAGTCTACTACAACTATGATGTCGCAGGGTCAGAGGTGAATGTCACCATTCTGACGCAGCCTTGGTCCCAGGCAGACGCGATTCTGAACGCAATGGAGCTGTATGATGTCAGAGATATCAATACGACGTACACGCTTGCTAAAGATGGTACGTGATCTTCTTCTCCCTGATTCGTTCCCGTGTCTCTTCCAAGGGAAAGGAACGACGTGCCAGATGACGTCAAAACGCAAGACTTGTGTCGTTAATTTTAATTCCTCTGTCAACCACGTTCTCCCCCCTCGGAGCAGCAGCCAAGGTCTCGACCATTGAAGTTGACACACAGCCCGTAGATTATTATCACAGTGAGTGCTCATGTGGGAAGCAGTGGCACACGATGTGAGGCATGTGCTCGTCGTGCGCATGACGTATCTGGCATTTGTACTCCTTCCCCAAAGCCACTCAATGCAAGAAAAGGATTCTAAAGCTTACATGAACGATCACCTTTCTTCTTGTTGATTATATTTTTAATATGAGAGAATTTAGGATTGGTATATCCTCTCACGTCTTCCGAATTTCCACAATCTCGAGGACTCTCGGCGGTTACTGCAGCACCTACTCGAGGAATTTGGATTGGGGAATGAATCCAGCTGGGCCAAGTGACAATGTCAGACTGATGCGTTGACCGAATCACTCATGCCCAGGTCGGAGCATAGCTGGTGTTTGTCTCTAACCACTGCGTGTGTGCTGGAATGTGATCAGTCACTACGTTACAGCTGGTGAAGGAGAAGTTCAATCTTACTTCTTGGACGGGCGACCCTTGCTATCCAGCATCTTACAATTGGGTAGCTTGTGACGGCAATAACAGAATATCCATCCTGTAAGTGAATGTCCACTAATCGAAAGCAACAACACTCGAATTACAGCAGTGATGTCCGGCAGCCTGAAGCCCATATATGCGTGGAATCTAAAGCTATCAAGGCACACTTATTTGGACCATATTTTAGATCTGGCTGCAGTTCAAATGTAGCGTCTACTTAATTGGTTCAGTTCTGCTTCCTTTGCAGATTTCTATCGAACATGAATCTAACGGGCGACATTCCTTCTGAAATAGGGGATCTCGCTGCGCTGAGAGAAATGTAAGTGTTTCAACGACTCGGTATCGACATTCACCCCTATCTGTTCTGAAGTTTCCAATATTTAATTACTTGGTTTCCTGGAGGAGGTTTGAGACGTGATTTGCTCATCTTGCGATACGAGGCTGAGTGATTCAGATGATGTACTGAATTGACAGATACATGGATAATAACGATCTCACTGGAGGGATCCCCACTTCTTTGACCCTTCTCGCTACCCTTAGTACCTTGTAAGTCTACAAACTGTCCTGATTTTTCGCCTCCCGCTGCAAGAAGTTCTAAATGACTAATTCCTTAAATTGCTACTCGATTTCAGACTCGAATGATAGTGTTGTTCGGTAGTTTTTAATCGAATGAAAAAGCTACGTGACTGCTGTTTGTAAGTTCATTATCCGTAGCAGAGAAAACGATTTTATAGAGCACTTCATCAGGAGCTATCTCACCATGGTTCATTATGTGCCTCGGTCCCTCAGGTCCCTTGACAACAATAGCTTGAGTGGAGGAATCCCAACTTCATTGCAAAACAGAAACGGATTCACGTGAGTGATTCTATCTCTCGTCCATCACCAAAAGTACTACAAATGCTTACTCCATTTATTACGCATGATCATAAGACTTTATGAGGTTTTAGTTCAGATTCCTGTCTACAATGTTCAGGTTACCATTTGCCATTCCATTTTTCGATCACTTCCGGTGGAAACTGAAGGATCATACTGACCCCAACTTCTGTGTCTGCAGATTCTCTGGAAATCCAAATTTGACTCTGTGCCAACCCACCGATGCACAATGTAATAATCCAGATCCAGGAACTGGATCTAGCAGCAGCTCTAACACTGGGATTATCATCGGTGTGGTGATTGGTGTAATTGTAGCCGTGATATTTGCAACTGGCCTCACTGTTTACCTCGTACGAAAGAACAAGGGAAAGAAACCTGTGGGAGGAGCGCTGGCTCAGTATTCTGGTCAGTCTCCATCTGTAGCAAATGGAGTTCATGTCTCTTACATCCGCATTGAACATTGTTTCCCTACCTCTCGAAAAACCATTGCAGATATAGGGAACTTGAACCTTGTGAGGATCTGAACGGTTCGTCTGTATGCAGGACCAGGCATCGCAAATCTATCAGGGAGTTCATACGATATCGCCAACTCCAGATCGTCAGTCTCGGCATCTGATCTGTCGGCTCCATCTCTTCCACCCGACAGAGTGCATGCCTTCAAGGCAGCTGGTTTAATGTCCATGAGAGAAGTGCTAACTGCAACTCGAAACCACTCAAAGAAGATTGGAGAGGGAGGTTATGGACCTGTTTACTATGGTAAGTTACCGAACGGGAGGGAGGTCGCTGTGAAGGTGAACAAGATTGGAGCCAACCAAGGCAGCCCCGAGTTTGTCAACGAGGTGAGCCTCTCCATCACCTTAACTGCGGCTCGGAACGACGGTTTGGCATAAACTCGTGATCTCGTTGCAAAATATCTGAAATTTGTCCTCCGAAACCTCTCTTGCAGGTTGCTCTGCTCACGAGGGTTCACCACAGGAATCTCGTCTCTCTTCTGGGATTTTGTGAGGAGAATGACGAAAGAATACTGGTGTACGAGTACCAGCATAATGGAACACTCAGCGATCTTTTATACGGTACACTCCCCAACTGTTGTTGTAAACTTCCTGTGGAATTGACACCAGTGGATGCATGAACTTGCTCCTAGACATAGAGAGATAGATGGCATCATGTAAATATCTGTAGTGTCGCTGAAATCGGGACGATAGTGTGATGCATCCGATTCTAAGCTCCGGCTTCTCTTGCGCTATGCAGGTCCTAATGCCGCTGCGAACCCTCTGAACTGGAGAACGAGACTTGATCTTGCTCTCAACGCCGCCAAAGGTAAGATCTTACTTCCGTCCCAGAAAGTGTATCGTTTACTCGAACATGGTCAAAAAATTTAGACGTTGATTCATACAAGTGCCATTCATGATCGATCCTACTCTCCACGTGATGTCACCAATTAGCTTTACATGTTCACCTTGTGCTCGCTTTGCTACAGAGGACCAGGTGTATATGTGAAGGTGGGACTTGTTATCTGTTCTCACAACTTGTTTTTGTGTTTGTAGGATTGGAGTATCTGCACATAGGATGCAATCCACGTATCATCCATAGAGACATCAAGAGCAGTAATATTCTCATTGACGACAAAATGGTAGCAAAAGTAGCAGATTTTGGGATCTCGAAATCCACTCCTGAGCAAACCATGACAGTATCAGCAGCTGCTCATGTGTCGAATGTCATTAGGGGCACCCCAGGATATATCGACCCAGAGTAAGGGCACAATTCTGCTTTACCACTATTTTCTTGGTTGTAGACTTCCTGCAGAGCACCGTCAGTGGAAGTCAAGTCTGCATGAGCAAAGGAGGTTCTCAGGATGCTTGACGTTGGTTCCACTGTCATTACTTGGTTACAGGTACCTCATAACCCATGTCTCGAGCGAGATGAGTGATGTCTTCAGCTTCGGTGTAGTCCTCATGGAAATCGTTGCTGGGCGTCCCCCTTTTACCATTGATGATCATGGTGTACCGTTCATCCTCCAGGATATGGTGAGTCTCTCTACCAGACCGTAAGGTTTTCTGATCTGAAATACCACATGGCAACAAACGTCTGATTTTGCCTTCACAGTTTCGACAAAGAGGAGGAGTCGCCAGCGTGAGATAAATCTGAGGGAATGGCGTGTATTGCTCCACAGTGCATTTGGAATATTGTGTGAAACTTGAGAGAAGACAATTATATTTCCTTCGAGGGGACTTCATTGTTTATGAAGAATGGTTGGATTCGATCACCTTCCTCCACTCCAGTCAAACTTAAAATTTTATCAGAAGGGGTCGGAAGTTTGATGTTTCACTTGTTTCGTGCTGCAGATGAGAAGAAGTATGGTAACAAATGACATCTACAGCATTGTAGATCCAGCCCTCGGTGGTCAGTTCAATCCGGAGTCTGTGTGGAAGATGTGTGATGTAGCACTGGCCAGTGTGCAGCGAGAAGGAGTGAATAGGCCCACCATGACCGAAGTTGTCAAAGGCCTGACAGAGGCTATGGAAATGGAATTCTCGTCATCCAATACAAGCGGCCGCCACACGATGTCCTCACAACTGTCAAGAACTCAGTCGTAATAGCGACCTTCGCCACATCTTTTCGCCATCACTCCGTGAATTTCATCGAGATCAACATGTGAGCTCGCGAGGGACCGATTCCATAATGAAAAAGAAACCCGTGAGCTCTTTCTTTCGCGAAATCCGGTTCTACGAATGGACGTAGAACCATCTGATCGGTAGACGTGAAGTTACACTTGCGAGCTGTGCACTACTCTTTAATTCTGTGGGGTTCTGCCGAGAAGAAGAGCCTCTCGTGCGGAAGAAAAGGCAAATTACTGCACAAATTTTGACCTGCATCGTTTGGGGTTTACTCAGTATTTGAGCTTGAGATTTGAGTGTTGCAACACTACTGATTCACAGTAGTACTGTACAGCGATGGGTTCAGACATGAACATCGAGACTCAATTTTTACTATATCGATTTTTTTGGCGTTATCTTGTACTAATATGTAGTGACTCGTTATAGCGACGGACTTGGCAAATCCGGTCTGCAATCTGAGTTTAGTTTAGAAGCTCCAGGATAGATCCGTCAACCTTTTGATTGAGGGTGAACGCCGTGAAGTACAATGTAGAGTGAGCTAGAATACTCCCAGACTGAACAGAATTCGCGGCTTCTAATCTCCCGACTTCAATTAGTTGACAGCAAATTACGAGTAGAATCTGTAAGCATCGAGGAGGAGAGCTGTTGATTTATGAAAGTTGAGCAACACCCAGATGACGAGGGACATTAAACCCGAATCTAGCAGTTAGGAGGTCGTCGTATTTGGTTTGCTGACTCCGATTATTGAAAGAAATAAAGAATCATGGTTGAAGATTATTTCGGGAACCACTTCGAGTCCTGTGGAGCTGCTTGATTGTTTTCACTACACCAGCCTCATACCCGAATGAAGTCACTTATGAAGCATGCAGAGGAGAGCTTTACAGTCGGGGCGTCAACATACGTGAATACTTCATAAATACAAGAAATTAAATACGTGCTGTTTTCTCTTTCCCATGAAACTCAATTCTTCACATTAGAGCGTCCGTAAGCATTGCAAGGATGACACGCACATTGCACTCGACTAGTCTACATCGAATCTAACTTTAGTTCAAGAGGACCAAGCTACATTTTACAATGTAGTGATCATTAACCATAGTGAAAAGTAGATGATTCATCAAAGTTTTCAAATATAGAGTTGAGCTTAGATGCCAATATTTTTTTTTTCTTGTATTAAGATCTTATAGAATGAAATGTGGGAAGTTTTAAATATGTGTCAGTCATGTTCAATAGTTTATTCAACATGAATTTCTAGGCTCATTACATGTTTTATTTTTGAAACTACTAATGATTATTATTCACAAGAGAATTATCACCTAAGATGATACAATATCATGTTACATTATTGGTTGTAGATTGTTTGACTTTGAAAATTCGTATTTTATAGATGTTAAGGATCAAATTACAACCGTGATCGGCTTTTATTTCGGCCTATATTTTTATTTATTTCTTCAAAATTTGATGAAATCTTTCCCAATATTTCTTGATAAAGATAAGGAATAATCTTCATTTCAACAAGCATACATGTAATATTTTTCAAAATAAAGTATTGCATTTATTTTGAAGATTTAGTATGGTTGAATTCAGATGAAAGTATTTTCATTGGTACTGAATTTGTGATTTTCATGTAATATATGATGCATCAAAAATTTTCGAATTATTCTTCAAAGAATTTTAGCCTTACAAGAATTCTTTTATAAGGCTTAAATTTTCTCCAAAAAAAATTTTTGTAGAGGAATTTAGTAGTATACATTGTATATCAAAATCTCAACATGCATTTTACTTTTATATGAATTTTGGATCAGTATTTCAAATTTTTCTTATTTGAATGATGAAAATGATATTTCACATGAAAATATAATCAAGTTGATGATATATATATATATATATATATATATATATATATCGTTGACTTTTATGTTCACATACAACGTAAATTGTGAAACTGGTAATTTGAATATAAGAAACAAGGAGTAAAGTATATACCACAATGCACCGACAGTCCTTGAGAATTGGCGCTCTGGAATAAAAATGCGTGGAAAGGATCGCCTAACATAAACATTAGAATCAAATAGTAGGAGCCTGTTATGCACTTGAGATATGTTATATGAACGTCATACCAGGGTCCTCCCCACTCCTAGAAAATGAAGTTTGATGTTTCCTGTATATACACAATAATAATAAAGATCAACTTGTGTAGAATCACGTTGTGGCATGATGGAATCTCTACGTTCGTAGAATATGTGATCGAGTTGCTCCTATATTATTACCTGGTGTGGAAGTTAGGCAGATGAAGCAGATGCAGGCGCATTAGCTTGCTGCTCTGCATTGTTACAGGTTCTTGTGGTACACGAGTTTACCATGCTTCGATTTGGAATTTCAGTCATTGTTGACTTAGCCCATCGGCACTGGCAACAAGATGCACGAGAGGATGCGGCTGTGCAGTTTCTGAGATCAAGTAGCCAGATTTGCTTATATTTCGCTGATCCTGGATCTCACCTCTATTGACGGAGCTTTATGGGGATCACCTTCGCTGCCGCCTGCGCTGTATACCCAGAAAGCTTGCCTCTGTACTGAGGAGAATCTAGACCGCAGTCGCATCCTCCGAATCGATCGAGGATAATCAGAGTCGATCCATAAAACACGGAACACATAACGCAGTAGCAGATATGAAGAAGACTTCAAAATTACCGCTCGCGACGGGGAAAAAAAACGCACATCATGGCAAGGGGGCATGATAAAAGGCGAAAAACTTCGAATGTGAGTGCACTTGAACGACAGGAGGCAAAACCTTCGTGCTCGTCTCTGATCATGAACTTCGGGAGCAATGGATGACAACGCCACGAAGCTCGTCAAGTGCCTCCTCAGCCAGGCAATGGCGGCTCCTGATCCACGCACGCATGCACCGAATGCAAATGCAGCCGCCAAGATCCAAGAAAGGTGCGTCCCCCTTCTCTGCGTTCTCTGCCGATCATATAACGCCTCGAACCCGGAGCTCGAGACGAGGTCCATGCTTGCCCGCTGCATTGTTGAGCGCCTCGACCTCGATTTCAATTTCAAGCGTTCAGCACCGTTATGGCCGTCGACGTCATGTCACATTATCGAATTTTGAATTTGAATGTCGAATTAGTGTCGGTTTCGTTGTTTCAGCGGGTCGAAGTAACGTGCAGAGCAGTTTTGAAACCTTCGTGGGTTGGGGTGGCGATCGAAGCTCTGGACGGGCGATGGGGGTTTCGGGGTTTTCAGCCTCAGGCTACAAAGTCTGACGAGCACTTGCGGATTCCGGTGGTTTGCAGGAGGAGGGTGGTGAGAGTTTCATCGAGCATGACGAAAAAAATTCTACAAACATACAGAGCATCCAATTGAAAGCTCAGGCTCAGGCTCAGGCTCAGCATTGGCAAGTGTTGCTGGTCCTCTCGGATTTGGAAAAAAAAATCGTGGGTTGCTCGAAATCGTGCGCTCGAGGCCCGGTCGGTGCGTGCTTTACAGCGCCAAATGTAAGCTTTTGGAAGTCGTTGCAGCCCATTCGGAAGCGTGAAGCATCGCTGGCTGTGTCCCCTCCTCTCTCCCTTGAATTCCTGCGTGCTAATGGGCACATCAGATTTCTGGGGTGTCAACTGCGATGACAGGGTGGATACGATGTACCTTGCCAACAGGCATGAATTACTAGCATATGGGAAAATCATGAAGAGAAAATCCGACAATATCTCCTCAATCAAGAGGAATTTCATGACCTTCACGAGGAAGCTACATGGGAAGCTGAAAGCAGTTGACTTGAGTCTTAAAACCTTCCAGCTACCGCGTATCCGGATATTGTTCAAATGTGCTGGAAGCAAATACCATCGCCCCAAAGAGGTACGTCTGGAAGATTCCGGTATCTTAGTGATCTTGGAAAATTCTCACTGAGATGCAACTGACAAGTTGATGCGTCAGTTAATAATTTCGGCCTGTTCAATGCCCCAATTTGTCCCAAAAAACATCTACACGAAATCAGCAATTACTGAAGGCATCACTTTCTGCGAGATCTTAGAACATTTTAATCCGATGTACTCACAAAAAGTCTATTGTTGTGATTTCAGCGAATGACCTCAACTGGTGGCAAGAATGAAGGCAGAAATCGTTGCGATCTGGAAGGAAATAACTTCTTGTACCACAGGTTACGACCTTATCCTTCAAATGATGAAGACAACTCCTGGTGAGGGGATCCTTTCAACGACTTCCACCGTGCAACTGAGTTTTAATGTTGAGAGACACTGAACAAAAGGAGAGCTTCAACTGTAAAAGATGTAAAAGCTAAGGACAGCTAAATGGCTGACTAGCCTTGAATATATGGGTATTATTTAATTGACTGTATTTTATGGGACCTGTCCTAGGTCTTACATCCCAAAAGCATGACACTGGAATCAAAGTCTTGAAATTCAGATGCTGGCTGTGTGGACAACAGTCAATTCAACCAGGTGGAAGACAGATGTTATGATCTGGTTGGAAGTGCTCGTATGCACATATTTATACCCCATCTTCAGTTGTTGCATAAACCGCTCCTGGCATGTTTATGTTTACGTCGATCTTATGCTTTGTACTGAATCACGGATTGATTCAGGATCCAATTGTGAATCGCTGGCAGTCGCAATTCTGTGGCCATCATTTCGTAATAGCAATTTGACATATTGTCGACTCTGAATCTCTGAAAGGATATCAAATCTGTGACATCTGAATGATACTGGAATGTACTCTTTCCCGCAGCACAGCTGGTGAGGTCACGTTTCTTGTTTATAATCTCGTGTATGTTTGTGTGCCAAGTAATCAGATGCACAAACAGTAATGTTGTATGCGTATTCTGCAAGGCCTAATCGGTCACCAGCGCTCTGAGTCCGAAACTTAGCCATAGGTTAGTAGTGACGTCCGGTTTATGTCGCCTTCTAGAATGCGCAGCTCTAGCTGTAAGCAGCTGAATAATAAAAAATATAGCTAAAAGTTGAGAAAACAGGTCTGAGTTTAGCTGTGAATAGACATTTGGGAGGAAAAGTCTTTTACACAAGATTAAAATCGATCCTTTTTGTGCTGTCGAGAAGAGGTCATGTTCTGAAATTCGAGAGGCTCTGTTGAAATCCGCCCGGAATTTTTATCAAATTCACCTCCAGTCCTCGTGAACTGATTGAATTTTTTGAGAGCAACCTTTCGACAGTTCTAGTATTAAGTATCGAGTTGCACTTTGTCTTGATATGCTCCTTCCTGTCCGATTTGAAGTCACGTACACCTTCATTTCAACTGTATTCTGACAAATCGTTTGCAACGAGGCATGCAGCTAGTCAGGCTCGATCAACCTTCAGAAATTTCAGAACAGAAGATTTCATATGCTTTGGAACTTCCTTACTTTACATCGAAACTTCCACGCGATGATGTGAAGCATCGAACCATTAAATACTATATTTGATTTTGCTGTGCATGCATGAGACATGCTCTGACTGCAGGACGACTTTGAAACAGAAGGAAAAATACTTCGGAAGTGATCGGACCTTTCACTTTGCTGAGTCCTTAGTAGGTACAAGCTGAAATTGTCATTCACATGGACAATGGGATGCAAATCTGTCATACGACAGCCTCAGAACTTCGATCCTTACTTGCAACCAGATAGCACTGTCAAGATGGCACCAATAACTACGGTCATGAGGAGATATTGATTGGACAACCTATTCAAGTCGGAAGTTCATGCAAAGAGGCAGGTGAATACTACTGCCGTAGTCTGGGAAACCATCCTGGAAGGAATATCCGTGGGATATTCTGGAAATCATGTGACTGAATTGAATGTGTTATCGGTCACAAGTGCACGATGATTTGGCCTTCATCCAAGATATGAAGTGGCAGATAGTATAACTCCAGCCAGAGACAAGGCTCATTTCCGCATTTGAATTCCTTCTTTAGGTAGGACGTGGCAGCATAAATTTGCCTCTTTAATCTTGAACATCGACATTGCTATTATGAATCTCGTGGTGATTGATTGCTACTGTGAAGCTTTCGACATTGCTATTATGAATCTCCCGGGGGTAAATGCTACTATGAAGCTTTCGGAATTCGAGCCACGAGTCTGCCGAACCGATTGCGATCTGCTCACGGATCGAGAATCCCTGACCACGAACTCTTGCAGTCGATATAAAGTATTGGAATCGTAGATGCGCACAATACTTACAAAAAGTAATACTTACAATGACCTGTGGCCATTGGAAAGCAAGCAAAACTCAATTCTAGATCTATATGATATGGCGGCCGCCGGCCCGATTGCTGGAACCGGGGTGAGCGACCATCGGAAGAGTCGACAATTTCGCTTCATTGTGAAGCTCCTTCGATCTCGAGGGGCCATGGAACGATGTACGACCTGAGGTGAACCAGTATATCAATCCGATGGCGATGCAGCCCGCCACGCTCACCGGCGCGTAGTTCAAGGTGGTGGCGGTGACGGGATAAGTCGGAGGGAAGCAGAAGAAGACGCACATGCAGGCCCCCCAGAATGCGCCCCAGCTGCCGACGAAGATGCCATACTTGCCCAGATAGAAGGGTCCCCTCTCGAACTGGTCGTTGTACAGGTGCCTGACGATGAGCACCACAGTGTAAGGGCCGTATGCGGTGATGGTGGACATGGCAGTGATGGCGGTGAAGGCGACACTGCTCCCCAGAGCCGGCAGAGTACAGATGAACGATCCTACCACTGCCACCACTGTCGCCAGCACTGGAATCTTCTCCTTCTTCGAAAGCCGAATTAGATGACGATGGAAGGGCAGGCCCTGATCTCTCGCCATCGCATAGGCCTGCAATTCATCAACTCTGGTGAGTGAATCGTCGACACAAGTTTCTGCCCCTCCATCGATCCAACCAACAGCTTCGTATGTTGCGAATATGCTGCTGGATCTGCTGAAGTGAATGTTGATTGGACTGCAGGAAATTAATTATTTGCGGACAATCATCGACAGAAGCATGCACTTCACGACTCACGAAAGCTGCAGTCAGATGAGGCACGCACCATTCTGGCAGTGAGGGTCACATTTGTGATGTTGCCGAAGAAGAGGGACACAACAGCGAGCCCGGTGAATACGATGGACCCCGCCACGCCATGACCGTACCTGGCATGGAAGACGTCGTAGTAAATCTGACTGGCAGCAGAAGAGTCTCCCCCTCCTGCAGACAAGGGAGAAACAACAATGAGCTTCGAAGCAGTTGAGGGTGTCGCATACAGAAAGGACGCAACGTTGTGCTGTTCATACGATGTCCCTCACCTGTGGCTGTATTGTCGCCGAGTACATTGTCAGGAATTTGGATGCAGAAGGTGAGTACGAGCAGGAGCACAATTTCAACAGAGGCTGTCACGTAGACGGTGCGGATCATAGCGCGAGGACCGGATGTGGCTGCAGTTTTAACCTCCTCCACGACATGTGATCCGACCTCAAAGCCTGTGAGAATGGACTGGAAGTAAGGCAGGCCCAGCAGCACTACCAGAGCTTTGCTCTTCACTCCTTGTCCTGGAGCGTTTACGAACTGAGTGAACACGAACTTGGGGTGTTGATACTTGGGTGCAACAGCCAACAGGGTTATGACGATTCCTAAAATCGACATTATTTGGAACCAGGCTCCGGCTGCACTCAACCGGCCCAGCCACCTGGTGTTTACTATTGATACCCAAAAATGGATGAAGAAAACTCCTGCCGTGACTGCCACAATCTGCATCCACACACCGAGAGGGAGAGAGGTATGATAAGCAATCGATGTACTACTATCAATCTTCTCAGATGAATCACGATCAGCTCAACTCAACACTGGAGAGTCTCTGGTAGCCATCGAGATCAGATTCGACGAGAATCTGATCTCGATGGTACAGTTAATGTTGAAAAGCATACTGCAAGTCAATCATGAGCTTGGAGCCAGGGCTGGTGAGAAGTGGGAAGCTCAGGACCTGAGTACTTGATAACTGCTTGCCAGTCCCCAGCAGAATCATCGTCGAGATCAGCTGTGCGAGAAGGTACTCATTCAAAGCAGTTCCGCAGAAGGAACCCACCAAGTACAACCATCCAACGAACCATGACAGCCAAGGGGCATGCTGCTGGGGCACCAGCCGTGCCACCCAGTAGTAAACGCTTCCGAGTGTCGGGAAAGCAGAGCAAACTTCAGCCATGGCGAAGGCCATGCACAATGTACCTATGGCGGTTGCTATAAAACCCCAGATTATTGTCACTGGCCCTCCGTAGGAATACATGAAGCCGTAGTAACCTGTCACGAAGCCCAATGGGGCAGTGTAGGAGAATGTGTACGCCCACTGCTCGAACGGGGTCATAACACGACGGTACTCCTGCTTGTACCCCAACTCATTTAGTCGCTTCTCGTCCTCGTCAACCACCGGTGGGATGGTTATCTCGGCCCCTGCCATTGCTGCCCCCGACCGAATTTGGAAATTTCACCTAGAAAGTTTCCTCTCTGCGTCCGGATGGATCAGTTAACACCTTCTTCGATTTTCAGTTTCTCAAACCCATCGCCTGCTTTGAGCGAATTCTGTCTCTACTATTTGGATTGGCATTTGTCAAAAGTAAGGGTCGTGGATCGAGAGAGACTTATAAGATTGGTCTGTCTATCAGCATCAACAGGCGACGGCTTAGCTTCCTCTGCTAAGCGAGATGTTCCGTGAAGGTGTGATGATGCCGGATATGGCATGACAGGCGGTATTTATGTCTTTGTTGTCACCCGAGGTTTGAGGTTTCGATCGAGCTTAACCTCTCGGCAGGTGTGCACAATTAGTCCGGTGGAATTCAGGAGGGGTGCACCTTGCACAGATCAAGGAAACGACCGCTTCCTGGACATTGATTGTGTGATGCTATCGCTGCGTGTCTTTAGTCAGCTCCGCACATGCACTTTCTGTCTCGGTCCACGTTAAGCTAGCGAGGTGCCAACACAATCAGGGCAGATCAACTTTCCGGTCGCCATTGAACAAACATTATCACGAGTCCAGGTGATCACAGGGGACGGTTGCCAGAGATTTTTTTACACAATTCTTCCTGCACTTTTAATCCTCGTTGTTCTCTAAACTCGATCGCTGTCCCACCGCAGCAACAGTTTCATGTATCTGACATATTCTGAGATTTATATAAAATTCTGAGAAACTTCAATGAAAGTCGTCTTGTTCCCTTCCATATTCCGGACATAACAGAACTCGCTCTATTCCAAAGTCAGAGCTCCCTGGTCCATGAGAATAATCAAAAGTCCGTTCAGAATTCTGTACATTGCATACGTTTCCAAGATATAGCTGACTGTCTCATTTCCATTTGAGAATTTCTCTGCAGAATATAGGAACTTCGTGACGATATTCTTGCTCGCCATCTGATGCTCTCCGTTTAATGAATTGTAAGGAAGCAATCCAAGTCACAATCTGCGCACTTGTAACGTTGTTTCTTTTCACCTCAGGCAGACACCGATTGCGAACACAGTAGATCCTTCACCGAGTCCGCCCTCGATGCCATCTGGAAGAAGCTCCCTGATGGCTTGTCCAAACGAGAAGAACGGTGAACCCAGTCCGAAGTAGCAATGAAGCCCAGAATACCGCTTTTCTGTGAATCGAACGTCGGCTGGGCAGTCAGTCAGTGATGGAGCACGCTCGAGGCAGCAGCAGCAGCAATTCCAACACTCCACTTGAAGAAGTTGTAGTCCTCAGTTGTATGAACGTCAACTGATGGAAATTGCTGCAGCAGAAGCAGCAGCAGCAGGTCTGTGAAGACCAGTTGATATTCCAGCCCGAAGGTTTGCATGGATCAAACGCATTCGGGACAGGGACGAGTGAGACGAGTGAGAGAGGCTGCTAATCCGCAGAGTCGAAGCCCAAGCGCAGGAATCTGAGGCCTTGTTCGTTATAAGCAGCTGCAAGTGGGGGAGGCGGATTTGTGAACGAACTGGGAGGATGACGACCACGAGATGCCCTGTGTCGGCACGTGCTGTCTATGCGCCCGACACACGCCCCCACAAGCTGCGAATCATGCCCGTACTGGCCCGAATTGGAAGGTTCCATTTTCTCGTCTCGATTCTCGTCTCGATTCTCGTCTTCTGAATCAGCCAGAAGTTGTTATCACTATAATCACATACACCCATCACCTCTCGGCCATTGCATACACAATGCTTGTAACTTGTTTTCTACTAATTACCTCTAAAAAGCATTTCAGTAAGCAATGGTGCCGTATCATTGCTTCACTTGGGCTCCAAACGCAGATATTATAAGAGTGTTCTTGAGGTTCCGTCCCAGTGGCAAGAGAAATAAGAATAGTCAAGAGTAACTCGTTGACTACACTGAGCACATTAAGTATTTAAGGTCAATCGGATGACATCTAATTGATGGAACTTTCGAGACTCAGCGTGGACGATAGCTTGAGACAATGAAGATAATGAAATCCGCACCGAATTCTGAGACTTTTGTATTATACGAGTACAGGACAAACAGAACAAGTTAATTATAGATTGTTTCTACCTGAACGTTTCCTGTTGTTAAAAAAAACTTCATCGAGCTGTTTCTACGTGCAGTGGTCACCTTCTGTAGTATCATGCTCGTTGCAATCAAGTGTTTCTCTCTACCATAAATTGGAGGTCTATGATCTGCCATCACCTCCCTGAAATCTCTAACATTTCATGAGAGTTGTCGAAGAAAATGCAGTGAATATGACATATATGTGCTCACAGGACTTTGATGGCTTTGTAACCGTTGTGAGTTATAGATCAAGTCTTTTCATTTGTGTAGTGTAGGATATATACTTCTTGGCAGTAGTCAATGTTGGTTTGAATATCGTTAATTAAATCTAACATTTTAAATGTTAGATTAATTAAATCAACACAAAATTAGATTTTTCAAAAAAATGCATTGATGTTTTTGCAATCTCGAAAATATATGTCACATTTTGTTTTAATTTTAAAAAAAAAAAACTGGTAAAAAAACTTATTTAACATTTGAGTAATTACAACTTGTGACCAGCAAGCAACGACAAACTGCTGCGGCGAATAGAGTGCACCGGATCGCTTGGACTGCGAGAACCGATGCTACTTCCATGTGGGGGCACAACAGTTGTAGGTTACTGCCATGTCGGTTGCACTGCACCTTGCCTGCACGGACAGAAACGTTGTTACGGTTAGAGTGCATCTCATTGTGTTCAAATACTCTCTAATCCCAGCTCTTAATGGAGTGGCGGTGTCTCTTCGTTTATGCGAGTGGTTTTTTAACCCAAAAGCATGAAGTATCAGAGGATCTATTGGGAGGTTTTTGTTGATTGACCGTTACTTACAGCTTTTATCACACGAATTACAATCCTAGCCAAGTTTCAGCAAAAAAATATTGTTGGCAGGAATTATTACACTCTTTTGGAACGTAAACTGGTATCATCATGGATTTGGTACATTCTTTCGGCGTTGTTGAGGACCATAAATTCGAAACTCTTCATGACAAGAAATGTAGAGTTTCTTGTCCTTCTTAGTACCGAGGACGATGAAAATCAACCACAATTGCGGAGACCATGATCACCCAAACACATGGCATTAATGGTGGAAACGCGGAGTCCAAGTCGAGTTTGTGCAAGGTTTTTTTTAGTATATTGCTTTGATATTCTATGCAAAGTAAAGTAAGCTTATAAATGATTTTAATTTAATTTTAATTTGTTCTTAAATATTTTGAAAAAAAAATTATTGTTCAAAATTTTAGCTGAAAAAAATCATCTTAAATGATAAATTTATCAGTTCCATTTTTTGTTTTGTTTATAATTGATAATTAAAAACTTTAAGATTTTGATATTCTATTTAATATAACGTACAAATTTTACCCTTATGGCCAAATAATGTATTGTGGATAAATTATAAACTCTTAATCAAACTAGAGTTATCTTGATTTTACTAGAGGTTATAATCTACTTTTCATTCTCATTAGTGCAGTTTTTTTAGATCAATGAATGTTTTTTTGCAACTTCATTGAGATTTTGTAAATTTTTTGGCAATTTATTTGTAATCTTTGAAAGAAAATGATGAAAATATCTGTCATTCAATCGTACTAGCTACACATGAGTTTTTTAGTGGGAAATTTCAAGTAAACAGTGATTATATAATGATTTGTTAAAGTTGGAGAGCAAAATTAGCATATATGCTCATGTTTTGGATGATGTTATGAATTGAATGAGAATTTTGAAAGATCAATTATTGCCATTCCAAAAACTTGCAACCTTGACAATTTTTTCTAGATTCACAATTGGATTTAATTGAGAATGTATTGATCTCTGATGACAAATAAAATTTGATAATTTAAATTGCGAGATTGAGCTTATAACAGTGGTTACAATTTTGGCTACAAAAATTTTATCTAAAAAAAATCTAAATCAGATTAGATTCTGATCACACATGATAATGTTACTTTTGCATTGAAGAAAGTGACAATTGCATAATTATAACAAGATGAATACATTAAATATTAGCATAATCTTTAGTGATATATTCTAGTGTGACAACTTTTTGTTTAAAGTTTGGTAGGTTTAAACTTGTGAGATTTTTATGCTAGGTAAAAAAAATACATTTGTTCTTTATACATGAAATTTGAGCAATAATTGAAAGTTTAAATTTTATGAGCTTCAAAAATTTTATGATAACATCCCAATTACTTAAATTCACTAAGATTATCTTGAAATTTATTTGTAGCCAAATGATTAAGGCAATTTTTTGAATCAATATCAATAATATAAAGCTAGTTTGAGTATTAAACATACAAACAAACTTCTAAATTTTCATCTACATCAAGTTTCATCAATTAATAAAAATAAAAAATAACATTTTTTTCATCCAAAATCGTTTATGCAATTGTTACATTTATTGTGAGTGAGACAGATTAAGGTCAAAAAAATTTAAAAAATATATTGAAATACATAGTTTATTTTTTATAAACAAAATTAACAATATCTTTAAAATCTATAATCAATTTGAGTTATTTTAAACTAAACTTGAGGTTATTTAAAATAGATATATAGTTATATTAAAGTAAATTATTTGTATTTGTTATGTTAACTATTTGTGTGTAGTAGGTAGAGAATCAATGTATTAATCAATAGCAACCGTCATCAATCCCTGAGCTTGTTAGGTACGGATTGAATGTATTTGTTACTTTGTTAGTTGAGAACAGATGCCAACAATATGTCCATGATCATGAATTTTGGCTATTCATGAATTTGACATTATTATTTATGGATGTTCAAGAATGATTATTTTTTTTCAAATGGATATGAATATTCATAGCTTTCAAATGAGTATGAATCCATGTTCATCAATATTGGTTGAGATTTTATTACTAACCTATTTTTCATGTCAATATACTCTATTAACATGACACTTGCGTTGAACTCATGAAATGCAAAAAAAATATGCATTGCGCAAATTAAATTGTTCCATGCTTGCACCAAAGAATATATGTGAATCTTTAAAACATCAGCTCTTGAAATTATACAATCGTGTTTATGAGATGAAGATATCTATATCTAGTTCACTCCATGCACAAGTGATGGAGAAGAAACTAAAAATACATTTTTTTGATTGACGTGGATCGGAAGCAATTTGTGTAGCATGCATGGACACAAGTAAAGTTATGGATGGAGATAGATTGTTGCCGATAATTATGATCTGGATAGGATTACAAATTTGAAGTAAAGTGTTTGACTTTGATAGATAGCGACATGTTAGCAATATGTGTGTTGGTTAGATAAAAATTGAGTGTGTTAGCTAACAGCAACATGTAGGCAATACATGTACTTGAATCTTGTAAATTAAATGTGATAAAGTGATACATTAGCAATCAATTCAAATTCATCTTTTCGCAATCATCATTTTTGTAGATTTTATTTCATTTTGATAGACAAAAAATGACTTAGATTGAGATCGTACATTTTTTATTAATGCCAATAAATATCAATATTATGTGTCGCAAATAATTTCTTATATATACTCATATTTATATTTATATATATATATATATACATACATATATACACACACACATTTATGCTATAAGATGTAAGCTTATTGATGATAATTTATAATAAATGCGGGTTTAATTTTTTATGTAAAATTTTAATTCTTTAGATTTTTTTTAAAAAAAAATTGAAATAGTATTTTTTCTCATAAAATGATATTTTTACGCAAAACATGAAAAATTATATTGCTGCAAAAAATATTATTTAAAGATGTATTTTTTTTCTTATCACAATTTGAAACACAAGATTAAATTTTTGTTTTTAAAAAATACTGACCGTGCAAAATTTCCAATAGAATTTGAAAAAATGAAAAATGTGCTTAGGCAATTTATTTTAGCATAAAAATTTAGGCTAAAATCGTTAATATGGTCTTTGGCTATTGATTTCATTTGATTTTCAAAATGTATTAAATTCTTTGATATTTTTTAAATCATTTATTTCTTGAATCATAAAAAAATAATTGATTGAAGTTATTATTTGTATATTTTCACACAATAGATGTCATATTTCATATTGATTTTTAAATGTGCAAATGACATGCATAGTTTAACATATAATTCAATTCATGTAACTTAAAAATTAAATTTCAGTTAGAATAATTTTTTATAAACTCAAATTATAAAAAGAGTGTGAATGATTTCAAACAGTTTGTATTGAAGATTTGAAAAATATAAGTGGTTGATGTTATTAAGGGGAATCTTGATAATTTAGATCTAAGAACAAGCAAAAGTTCTGATAGAAATATAGCAGGCTCTCCATCATCCAAAATTTGAATTGCAAATAATTTGAGGTGACTGTGATTTTTAAGTATATGATAAAATATGGTGATTTTATCTGCAATAATTTTTACTCATGACACAATGTTCACAATTTTTAAGTTTATTTTACCTAAATCAAAAAATAACCTATTTCGCCAATTAAAATCAATTTACCATCAATTATCTCTACAATACCTTAATGAAACATAAAGCATCTCAAACTGAAATACAATAGATTCAACTTCACCATAAACGGTTATTATTCTAATCAGTAATAAATCTCAATGCTTGTGTCTATTTATTATACTCTTTACCATCGATTTTCATCTCAACTACAATTATTTGAAGTTTCAACTCAGAGTTTATAGAATCTAGCAATCAAGACAAAGACGAGCACAACGGGCAAACAATGCGACTGAGGGTTTGGTGATAATATCTCAGCATTTGATTGTTGCCCTCACTAGCTTGCCGTCCCCTCCTCGCCTCGCACACCAGTAGAGCAATGTTACGTGTGCAGACCAGAATGTGAGTCTCATCGGCGCTGGGTTTTGCAGATTGAACAAAGGCAATCAAAAACCAAAGCCAGAGAGTCTGCACTCACAATCATAGGAACGCGCGTTCGGTTTATTTCTCCGTGAAAACGAGGGGCGACGTTAGAACAAAAGGCTTTTGTTCCTTCGCACCAGGATGTCTAAGCTCGCATGTTCAGAGAAATTCTTTTGCTTGGTGCCTCGTCTGCGCTCAGGTTGTGGCCTCATTCGCAGCGACTACTACGAACAAGGTGAACAATTCGGTCTCTGCAGTGGTTATTCGTTACTGCGGATCGTTTGTTGCCCTCAATCGCAAATCGAGTACGTTCAGATATCAATTGTCACGAACTCTCCACAATAAACGGAAACAGCGAGCAAGTATGTGATTCATTTCCGTGAAGCAACATAAATATAATGATAATAATGAATCATGAAAATCTAATTTGTTTAAATAAGAAATATGATCCAGTTTTTTTAGATACCTAAGTAATGGAATTATTATAACTATATTAATTAGGATAGATGATGATAACAACATTAAATCCAAAATAATTAATCATCATTCCATCTTCTTACTTACAATTTTGAGTTTCATTTCAAAATGGGTGGAGGAAGAAGGTTGGAATGTCGATCATACTAGAGAAAGAATCATGAAGGTTATGTACGAATAAGATTAATTGATGGATCTAATAAATGTTACAGATAAAGCCGTTGACATTTTACAACATATAGTAATCAGTCTAGTAGTTTATGTTACATATATGAATACAAATGCAAGAGAAAACATTTATGTATATAGGAAATTAGTTAGATTTTTATTGAGATATTTTACATTTAGAAATCTTTGGCTCGTTGAAATCGCATCAAAAATTTGATGTTTGCTAATATGTACAGGGCAAGTAAAAACTTTGATGCCAATGCAAGGATGGATGTATGAAGATTCAATATAGTTGAAGAAGCAAAGACTTTATTTCCACGGCAATAAGTTAATGTATGCCCAAAAACTGCGAGAAGAAGTTTGTAAAATAAACACTTTGTATCAAACAGAAACAATTGGAGAAAGTTTACCATACACTTTACACAAAGTAACGATCATTCTAGTGATGTATAATTTCTTTTTTGGAAAAAATTGAAGAATCATATGATAGAAGAAGCGAAGTATGTAGGTTTTGACTTCTTTATGCAACTCTCTGAGTTCAATCTAAGTTGAAAGATTACAATCTTACATATATCACATCAATGTAATCAATGTAAATGTAAATGTAAAATATATAGCATCATTGACTTGGAAGGGCGAACTTACAAGAGCTGAATGTTTCCCGGGCGCAAGCTCGTAAACAACCTGGTCATTTAAATACTCTGCAGCAAAACGTTAAAAAGATAACGTGTTCACAAAAATAGGGATGGAGAGTCCTCGAATGACTAAAGTGACCAAGCTTGTCGTTATAAGTCATAGTTATCTTCACAAGTACTTTGAAACTAGTCAAGTAGGCCACCGCAATGTCCATCTAGATTATACAGTCTTACTTATATCCTAGCCACTCAAGAAAAAGCACTTCCACAATTCTCGCAAAACTGAGGAGATCCTGTCCATCTAATATTTCGAAAATAACACAATCTTTCTTAACTAATTAGAATTTCCAATTTTTCCAATATGTGAGAGAATCCTTTGCTGACATCACTCGTGAGGAAAGGGCTAATACTAAAAAGTTTGACAGTTGCAAAGCAAAATTATGGTAATTGTGAGAAATTTCAATTCTCTGCATATATGAGATAGTAAGACAATTTTTTTCAATTGAGCTCCTATTTCACCAACACTTTGCGTATCTAACCTGTATTATGATAAGTATCAAATTGACATGAAATGAAGATGTTAACTGTGCACATTTGCTACTAAATAGAAAAGAAAGCTATACAGATTATTGAAATAGATCTCGGTTATTTGGAAATTGAATTTCTGAGAATATCTAGACTACGGTCATAAAAATGTGCGGAATCGGGTTCTGCCCTTGCTGTCTATCAAGCCTGAACTTCCATACTTTGAAGCCTCCGGGACCCACCTCCTGGAAATAATTCTTCACGTCATACAAACCATCGTAAAAGTAGATATATCCAGATGGACTCTGAAGTACTTGACACCCATCAAAATTTATTGCAGCGTCTCCTTTCATCACCTCAATTCCGCGAATAACCCTTACACTCAAGCCAAGATCGCAGCTATTCTTAAGGGCCAGGTTACCCCTCACCAAAACTTGATGAGACTTGTTGCTGCCCTGACCGGTATACACGAGAGTTTCTCCTTCGTGCTTATTCTGATATCCACCACCACGAACAGAGACTACGCTCACAGCTACTGGCAAGGTATTCCCTTGGGTGTCATAATACTTTGTCTTACTTGCGCTTATGAAGTCTATTCCAGCTTGAACTTGACGATGAAGTCCCACAAGGAGTAGCTCTATACGGTAAAAGAAGTAGTCTCCAACTTCAGTTCCAGGAATTGACCCCATCACTACTGGGTTTTCACTCCCTTTCCGAATATTCATCTGTTTCTCCACATAGGCATAAGCTTTGAGGTCTGCTCTCAGTCGTCCTGCTCCTTGTACTGTTCCAAACCTCCTTATCCGCATGTCTTCCTGTTCTGATAACATCCTTCTCCTTTCATGGTACATCTGTCGCCGCTTGTTGAGTTTCATCCTTGGACTCAATGAGGAGAAGTCCAAAACATCTGCAGGCTCGGCTATCTGAGTCTTATGGAAGGACTGACTCGTGTCGGATAGATCGACGTTACTATCAGATCGATTGAAATCCGAGTAGGGTTGTCGTTGGGCAACACCCCTGGTGTTCTCCAAGTCTTGTCTGTCAATAAGTGAGTCTGATTCGGCATCTGACATAACCGTGATGGGTGGATCTTTCGCCATCCATTTCTGTTCCGGTCCAAGAACCACAACTGTCTCTCCTCTCTTCCCTTTCCGCCCTGGTATTATCACGAAACGCGTCGGATCATCATGAGCTCTGACTCGTAGACCTGGAACACGTTGTCGCACAAGATGAGACTTCGACGTTGCTCCGTTTCCTCCAATGCTCCTCTCCTCCGCTGCACCTTCCTTCACTTCTTGACATCTTTCTCGTGACTCCCGGTCTTCGGAACTCATACCGAAGTTTTCACGTTCATCCGATAAGAAATCTGTTATCGCGTCATCGAAGTCACGAGGTCCCATAGCTGAAGAGTTCTAGTCGTCAGGAAGAATAGAGAAGCTCGTTTGCTCCATCACTGAGGACGACAACAACAAGAACGTCATCGAAGTCACGAGGTCTTCTAGCTGAAGAGTACTAGTCGGCAGCAAGAATAGAGAAGCTCGTTTCCTCCATCACTGAGGACGACGACAACAAGAACGCCAACCACAACTTCATCTGCTTCTTGCTAACGTCTCGAGAACAATCGTAACGTCTCACGAACAATGCGTCCATCTTCTCGCGTCAATCTCCGTCTGAGCAGCAACGAGCCCTTCATCTTCATCTTCCCAGACCACGCGCCAACAAGCGTTCGACCTTCGTCTTGTCACATCGTCCATCGATTCCTCGACGGTGGTGTGCTTGAGATTCAATTCAAAAAATGAGCTGACTCGGTGTATGAGATTGTGTTTGAAAATTGTATTAAACATGATCTTTTACATTTATTTTTTATATATACATACTCTATGATATCATTACTTAACAGCTGTACAGATACAGTCGTATGATACAGTAAGTGGGGTAACATTTTCCACTCTTGTGTTGCTTCAAGGTTCCGTAGCGTGAGATAGAAATCGACCAGAGTTTTCTTTCCCCTTTTTCTCTTTCTTTAGATAACAAGAAGCTTTCATCTCATTCCTTACCATCACTTCAATACCGAGTGATGAGGAGGCATGTAATTACACAAGAATTCATGTTTTCCTTATATATATATATATATATATATATATATATATAGTAAAACTATCCAAATTCATATATAAAGAATTTGGAGAACTTACTCAAGATCAATGAGCACTCGTATTGAACAGTTATGAATTATCGTACTAACTCGGAATCAGCTGAGTAAAAACAACATCTTCGACAGTTATAGATTAATAACTTCTTGAAGTACCACCTTCCTGAAATTAAAATATTTGTACTTATCGAGATAGCTATGTATCCGAACTTCTATTTGTGGCGACCCGTGCTGCTCATGCATGTTGTGGACGCTCTCGCAAAAAGTTACCCTCAGTTGTATCTTTTGCTTCTTTTACTCATTATGTTGGATAGAGCTATAGGAGACAAACATCAAAATTATGTTGAGAATCTTACTACATTTCTAGAAGCTCATGAGAATGATCAACACTGTCAACTAATAATATATGACCTCGCCCCAACACAACTAATTTTTGAGGATTTCTACCATAGTTACTGCAATTTTGTATAGAATGATTTCACTTTGCATTTAATAGTTCTATCTTGGTCTATTTTTCTATAGGTTTTTTATATAACCAACAAAAATATTTAAAATTTCATAAATCAATAATTTGAGGTATTTCAAAAAAAAATGGAGCTTGAACTTTTTTTCCCTAATTCAATAAACAATTTTTGTATTAAGTTAGTTTCTATTGATAAGAATATATCCATTATATTTTTAAAGATTGAAAATACATATGATCAATGTGCTATAGAATCACAAGAAAACTTGAGAACTCACAAGTAATCAGATGTTGAGATTGAAATATATTGTTTGGCATTGTTTGGCATCACATACTATGTCCACGGGAACACAACAAATTTTAGTGTTATTACACTAAACTGTCAACGATGCTTTCGTAGCGATTTCTTTAAACTCACTGTGTTAACTAACCATACTGACCAAAAAACTTGAACTAACTTCTAACAAACTATCATAAAAATAATGTCGTAGGGGCCTAACCTCCATAATTTATAGATTTACTCTCCAAGATTTAATAGAAAGAAACTTAACATATATTTTTACTTCAATTAGAGCTGATCAGATTTAAGACTTAACCAAAACATGATAAATTAAAACTATATAGAGTTAACAAATTTGCTAGAAAATTCTATTTGCTCTTTCAGTATAAAACCTGCAAAGTAGCACAATTTTTTCTAAAACTTTCCAAATAGATAAGTTTGATCAATGTTTTAACTAGTTTGCAATTGTAATAAAATGGTACGTATAGCTGAGCATTTGGAAATCAATCTAGTTAAGTCACCTGCACATGCACGAGACCTGCAGCTGTGTTGTGCTAGGTGGTTGGAGTCGCCGTTTGGGCCCTAGACCTCCTGCTCTTCAGCTACCTAGGCATTGCAATTTTCACCTTCGCATATCTTGAGAGGTTGACGGCGATGTTTAAACTGGTTCAAGAGCACAAGCGGTGCATTACTGGAATGCGATGCTCCACGTGTTGGGGCATCCAGGTTGTGGTATCACCTCCACGCTCTACTTCTTGGGCAAATCCTCTGAGCACGTGAGCTCCAATGTGAGAAAGAATAGCGAAGAGTGCAGCTGCAAGCAAACTGGTTCTTTCACCAGCACTTGGACCCGCCCATAATGTATCCATGAGCGAACGCTGAAGCTGAGGTCGCAAAATCAGAATCGCGCCGCGCGATGTCGCTGTGAGAAAGCGTTAAGCATCAACAACCTCAGAGAACGACAAAGAAGCTATTCTGGTTAGATCGGCAAAAATAAAAATTCTTCATGAAACACCTCATTGACTCATCTGCTGATGAAAACTTGTGGGATTCATGATCACACAACTGCAAAAAATGCCATCCTGGACATGAGAATAGCCCAACGCTTACTGCTTGCTTATGCTAATATCTTGCTTTCAGTCTCTCTATCAAGACTACCGCTGTCTACTGCTTGTTAATTATAGGATGGAATAAACACGCATTCGCACCACCATCTTCCAAATCCACAGACAGAACACTGCCGAACTCTACCAACAACCGCAACCAACAAAACATCCCTTGTCTGCTTCGCCACATAATTTAGTGGTTAGACAATACAAGGTCAGTCTGGGGTAAATAATTTTTTTTTTGATAAAACGATAAAAGTGTCAATATAAAAAATAGTGGCAGTTTAACCTAAGTCCGAAATAGCTTAAACTAACCTCAGTTAGCATCTAACAATTGGAAAAATACTACAACAAAAAATTCAATATGTGATATTTCCTTAGATATTATTTCAATCGATAAAAATTAAAATGTAAAATAAATCAATTTTTTTTTACCTAAGACCGAATTGTTTTTTAAAAAAAATTTCAAAATTCAAATGAAAATCATGATCTAACATATTTTTTCTAAACCATGTAAAAAATGTTTACTTTTGTATTTATTACGCTAGATTTATCTTGAATTATTTCATAACATATAACACATTTTCAAACTTTAGAAAGAAAAGTTTTAATCAATCCAGAAAAACAGTGAAAAAGATGAAATTTCCACCATTTTCCCTGAGAATATACAAAATATTCAACATAGAATAGAAATGCATTGCCCTATCTTGTATACCTTCTAGTGTAAATATGTATCGTGTCATCGTATATTTAAATACGATAATATATATGTGATTGTATTTATTTCAACTCATTTGTGGTGAATACTCAAACATAAAAATAATAAATATCTCATCTGTAGCTCATGCATAAGATAGAAGATGTACTTTAATATCTACTTCCATCCAGTTGACAATTAGCATCAGTCTTTGAATCCGGCCTACGGTCTGATCATGTTCATATTCATGTTTTCTCATTAGGAATTTATAAAAATAGGAATGTCATCATTCCATGAGTTACGGTTCACATACTCTCTACAATCAAAATAATACTCCATTTTAATGTATTTTACTTGGAGATGATTTTAGTGTTTGAGGTCATTTGTGCATCTACCAACTCAAGGGAGAAATATCTCCCTAGTATTACTCTTGACTTCTAGCAAAGTGTTTCCCTAAAATGGTCATGGAAGGTTCAAATCAAGGCTGTCGCACGGAGAACAAGTACGTCAAGCTTCCACATCCTGAAGGGACTCCATTATTGCTCCTGTAAAAAATAAAGTGGCTGATGTTCTTATTCGTGTGTTAAATGAAGACAAGCAGGATTTTCATTCCTGTGTTCAAGTACGTCGAAACTGTTTATTGTGGGGTGGGAAAAATCTATCAGGGAGATTCTATTAATCTTATTAAGTCTTCATCTCAACGCTAGGTTGTCGCTACAACTCGAGGTTGTGATTTGGGGTACACCCTTATTAGAGATGGCTTTTATTTTCACATGGACTAAATTTCCATATATTTGAAACACATTACCTACGAAATTCGTTTAAGGCAGGGTGCCAAGAAGTACACAGCGTCGTGCAATCCCGCAAGTTCTACCGCATGTAATTGAACTTTCGACTTGCCAACCACCACCACCAAAAAGTACGACAGTACGAGAACGGGCCTGCAATAACAATGAGCGTAGTGAAATTACCAATTTCGAAATAGTCTCGTGAACAAATACCAACAATAACAATGAGCGTAGTGAAATTAATAATTTCGAAATAGTCTGGTCAACAAATACCAAGTGATTATACTTCTTTTGTTAGTCGCATTTTATTCAATTGCTTTACTCCTCCATATGAGATCATTGTGTATTGGGATAGTCAATTTTATATCCACCCGAGAAATCATTAAGATATACGAGATGCAAACCGAAATATTATCTGCTCATAGAGGGATCTATATATTCAATCGAAGATATCTTTTATCATCAGTAAGGAAATGAACATACCCAGCACATTGCTCACAGTCATTCTCCTACGCCAGCAGCGTTAGATAGAAGAATGAATCTGTGTACGAGCTCATCATATCTATAATTGACTCATTCGATATGCAACTGTGAACGATATGCAATTCGTTTGCATAGCGAGGAAATCTGGAACGTGCGATGCACTATCCACCAATAGTGCATGTAAAGGAATCAAACAGGCTCAGTTAATACCAATCTTAGGAATTAGGTTTGATTTCAATTATCAAAATAGGATTTAGTTACCTTTACATTAATTCCAGAATTCAGAATCGAATGGTGAATCATATGCATAATGAATTGTTGCGCTGAGATACAGATTCGTGTTACGGATTTAGGAATTTCAGTTAATGTTAGTTGTGTATAATTGTTGCGAGATCTCATATGGGTCCCTCTGCTCAGCTCTCAAGAATCAGATGCTCTCTTGCTGCTTGGTATCTAAGTCGCGTCATTAAGGCAAAAAGGCTTTTGGAACTTCAAATTCTTGAAAAGACTTACTGATTGATGTTGAGGTCGACGTATCAGTTGATACTTTTGCTGCCATGGAAATTCATATCGAGTTTTCTGCACACCCAGAGAAGTACTTATTGTTCAACGAGAACATAAATTCTTTGTAGACGACGAAAAGCTTCCTCTCTCGTGAACCAATCATATTGGGTGGATTCTGGACGTTATATCTACCTGAAAGTAGATTTCTTTCGACTGGATTTGCACGGAAGAACTATGTTGTGCATCGCTCTCCTCGTGGCGATAGAGCTCAAGTCTTCCTTCGCTGGACAGAACGTTTACTTTCAAGTTTTGCTCGTTCGATCTGAAGACATGTATCGCTAGATATCAAACACCATTCTCTCAATATACGAGCTTATTCCTGTGTACATCTTAGACGATGCCTTCAACATGAATGTTGGATGATTTGATACGGAGTCTTGCGAATTCGGAAAGATACTTAGATGGCGCATTAGAGTCGTGATAAGGCCTATCGAAAGCAGCACTTATCAACTTTACATGCAGATGGGAAGTTTACTAAATCTGCGTTTGAAATACTCCTGCAAGGGATATAAAATCCAAGAGATAAAATACGTTTTTAAGTAGGTCATAAGTAGTATCACTTCTTACGACAGGCAGTGTAAGAGAGTGACGTGATGAAGTTCACTTGGACGTTGAATATTTGTGCAGCAGCAGGTCATACGAGTGATCAAGACAAGTGCAGAAAGCTTGGGATTAAACTAATTACCATGTCAAAATCATCTCCCTTGATGCTTTGATCTGTACCATTCAGCTCTGCCAGCCGTTGACAAAGAGCAGCTCGCATATTTGCCTCGGTTCGTCGCCACCCTCGCTCTCGTTTCATCACCTCGTCTGGAAAAGGATGAACTCCAGTTAAATTGTTGACTAACAGGTTACTTGTCACAGGTTTTGCCAACCTAACAAGTCTAGTGGTCTCAACATGTGAAGTCGGTTCCAGGTTGCAAGCTTACCTTGGAGTGATCTTAGGGCACTCTCGCTTGAGCCTTGAATAATGTCTGAGGCAGGAGTGGGTGGCCGCATCGAATCTTTGTTCCTCAAATTTCTCGATCCGTCAGGCTTTGTTGCTGAAACTGGCAGCTTTTGTTGGCCATGGGATACATTCCCACCATTAGAAGACAATTTATTTGATTCACTCCGAGCTTGGCGCATTGCTCTTTCTTTAGAGTCACGATCAGTGTTGAAGTAACTTAGTCTATCTTGTTCTAAATATGGTGCTGGCGAAAAATCAGAAGCTTCATGGCTCCCCGAGACTCGTGATGGTTGTCTCCCTCTGTTGCCGTTGGAGGTTCTGATATCTCCATCTCGAGGAGAAGGTTGGTGGGCTTCGTACATAGTACAGTCCTGCATGCTCCATCCATTGGCTTGTGCCGCTGCTTTTGATTCATGCGCAGCCACTGAAAAGTTGCTTCTTCGATCATTGAGCGAAAGTGTCTGAGAATCGTCGGAAGAAGGGGGACTTCGTGGCAGATGAGAGTTTGTTCTTTTCCTGGATGTACATATGTAAGTAGGAGTTTTTTTTTGGGCACCGAGAGAAGAATTTTGAAAAGCTTCTATGAGCGTAGGACTTCGCTCTCCACCTGCCACTCGATACATCTCCGAAGAAGAACCCAAATCTTGTTTACTGGGTGACGATTGCTGAGAGGACTCGGACGACTGGCTTCTCACGTCCGATGCTTCTACAACTTTTCCAGCAGGTTGACCGTTCGCCATGGTACCATTTGAATTTTGTTGCCTCCTCGTAGTATCTGTCACAGACCAAGCCTTTCGTTCCCCTTTTTTGACAGAATCAATTGGTAACGCCTGGTAATAAGTCTTGCTAACTGGGGTGGATCCCTGAAAAGTTGGGACCTTAGGAGGCCGTTGATTGCGGTCGACACTGAAAGAATGCTTGCTCTCGACGGCGTTTAGTATTTCAGAAGCCTGGGGTTTCCGCATTAATTGAACTTTGCTGCCATCTTTCGTACCTCTCCTAGCTGAGGATGACGAATTCCTCGCCGAGGAATCTGCTGGAGGACGTGAAGCTTCAAACAAGAACGAGGGTTTGGATGATTGTTGTTTTGATTCTCTCGAGTACGTCCCAGAGTTATGTACCTGTGCAAATCGGTCCGACCTAAGAATGCTATGATTCAGGAGTCTCCACGTTTCCAAGATTCATCACGTCCTCATGGAAGGCTCATACAACGCCGTAGGCTGCTAGCGTATAATGGATTTCATTATTTCATGCCTAAACTGGGCAGATTTTAAACTATAATTTGATTACTGTTGGAGTAAGTATGTGTCACTCACCACGCTCCCGTTAGATTGCCTCTCAAGCTCTAGAAAGTCGTCCATGAGATTGTCGCCAGCCTGATCTGCTTAACAAAAGAACGTCTCATATCAATAAACACAGGCTCTGACTCTTCAACAAACACTGCTCAAATGGTCAACATGGATTGGCACACGAAATTCTAAATATGGATATTCAGGGAGACTCACCAGCAGCAATTGATCTCTCCAGCGATGGGGCAAATTGTGCAGCTTCAACTATCGCTTCTTGTTCAGCCTCGGAAATCACCCTGTAGCCATGTTATTTCACGTTGGTATCATTGTCATATTTTTTAAAACTATGGAACACAGTAGGAAAGTTACATTACAGGAAGAGAACCCCACCTTTCAGCATTCAGTAGCCTCTCTTGTACAGCTCCTAGATTCGACTCCAGATGACGCTGTATCCTTTGAGCTTCCTCAAATTCTTGCGTGAGAGAATCGTATTTTTGTTGTAACCTGCCAAGTACATTGTGGTGCAAGCTGTTAAAACTCAAGAAGAATTTATGTGTCAGCTCTAATTGCACAAATAAAAGTCACTCAGAAGGAATACCGTGGTTCCGATTGTGCTTGCTTTCAGATGCGACGATAGGGCACTGTTGCCCCAGTGCGAGGGTCACTTCGGTTCTTTCAAGTAATTAGATGGCAATTTTGTAATTTTCAACAAATCAACCTTGCCCTCGAATCGGCGACTTCGTCTTCTGCTGCGATACTTCAGGTTACCATCACTGTTTTCTAAAATCTGCAGTGAAAACTCACCTCACTGCAGATAGGTGTAAGATGAAGACTATGATAATTGGAGAAGGATTCACCTTCGCTTCTCTTCCAAAAGATGCTGATAATCTTTGCGTTTAGCGTCTAGAGTTTCTTCAGTGGACTCTAAACATCTTCCGAGTTCTTGGATTTGGCGTTTCTGCTTTCGTAAAACAGCTTCTTTCTCCTTAAAGCCCTGTGCAAGTATATCTTCAAAATAAGGACCCGCTTTGAACGACGCATAACCATACTAGTGCTCCAATCATTCAACCTTGTGATGAATTATATCACTCTAGGATTCGCGTGAGAATAAAAAAATTACTAACTATAACTTCCGTGAACAATCCAAAAATGCCTTTCTAACATTGCTCCCTGAAAGCTTATATCGCTTCAGACTCGAATGCAGAAGTTTGTCAAAAGAAGACCGTTATGTAGATGAGAATCAGTATCCGGAAGTGAAGTTCTGATATACTTCTAGTTGCAATCTCTGGAAAATGACCGCCACTTGGTGCGATTCAGAATCAACTGGGGGTTCAACTCTTCACCAATATTTGCACTGTGAACATGAGATCTCAAAGCTTCTCAGGCGAGCGATGGATTGATCTAAGCTATCAGATGTTAATTTTGCCTTCAAGCTAGTGCAATGGTGACATTGAGAAAATTTATGCCAAATTGTCCTGGATATTCAAGTATGGATATCAGCGCGTTTGAAACTCTGTCCACCTCACCTTTTCGCATTTCCTGTGCAAGGACCCGCTATCCACACTGTCGAGGTTGTGGCGAAGGTCAGCCAGGTTCTGCAAGTAGTAGGCAAAGGTGAGATAGAATCACTTTTCCTGATTCCGGAGATCATATTGCCAAACAATACACCAAGGCGACCGTCGCAATGAAAAAGGCACCATGCGGCATGCATGGCATTCACTAATGTCCACGTCATTTGCCATGAATAAATGAAGATGCATATATATGTCCAAACCGTTAATTGGATACTACACTTTAAGAAGAGATACATTCACGGCTATTTGAATGTGTAATTAGATTAAAGAAAGATAATAGTCTGATTGATTTTTGTCACTGTAAGAAAACTTATTATCTCATTTCCTCCCCGAATTTCTTTGTGGGGATACTCTTACAAAGTCCTGACTTTGTGCAATATGTGCAATAGAACTTTACGTCGTGACGAAAGGCTCGCAGCTGAATAGTTGGGCTTAGTGGCCCATCTCTTACCATTTACTTGTAGCTTTGAATTTTTTAATGAGTTTGCCTCTGAACTCATGATCATAAAGTTCGGGAACTCGGTATAGTTCATTGTTATATGCAATGAGCTTTGATCGTCGAGGCTGGCATATACTTAGAGGTCTTCGCTAGTAAAAGAAATCCAGGAGACACACCTTTTCGATAGCATCTTTTTCCTCTTGTAACTTCTGCTTGGCACACTCTAAAGCCTCATACTCTGCTTCTTGTCTGTCTCACAAAACGATGGGACAAGTCAGTCAGATTTACCCAGATTTAAGAGTGGAACGAGTTTCAATGAACCTTTTCGCCCGCTCGCATCACATTGTACACTTAACGCCTCACAATCCACGGACGATTAGGAACAGTTATCAAGTAGAAGTGCATGATCAACATTATCGACAGCTCATTTTGCTCTACATCTTAATGCGAAGTGTCAGTACTTATTGCTCCTAAAAGATTACAGGTTTTCTGCTCATTTACTACTGGAACCTCTCGTTTATGTCCAACGTTCCTCTGTGAATATGTAGACTTCCGAAAGTTGTCGTCAAATAATAAGGTGGTTATCATGTTCGGTGATGAGATTTAGATGGCATGGACTGCTGCCTACGAACTTGACGAAACTCCAATTTCAATCGCAGAGTGAGCGTGAGAAATGATGTACTGAAACTACACCTGGCCAAAGAGGATTGCAGTTGTTGTTCTGCAAGCTGAAGTTGGCCAATTACTGAGTCGCGCTTCCAGAGCAAGGCTTTTAGTTCTTGACAATATTTTTGTTGAGTTTCGACAATCTAATTTTCGTCAACATAGAACGCAAATAACAAGCAAATCAGAAAATTGAAATGACCTCAATATATTGAACGTCCTTGCTATGTAATATCTCGTCTGATCTCACAAAAGAGAAGTCCAAGGAATGAATGATAAACTGAATATCAGCAAGATCAAATTTCACTGCAGCTTATAGAACAAGAGAATTATCTCATTCCGATTTTGTAACGAAGGAAGCTGATCATACTTCTTCCTTTTTCTGAAGAGCAGCTTTTAGGTCCTGAACTCTCCCATTTATCACTTCAATCTGCGCGCATCCATGAGCGAAATGGAAATAGTTAAGAATACTAGAAGCGTAGACTTGATTCTCCATCGATCGAGGCTTTATTCAGCACATGTTTCATATATAACCTTCAGCAGAAAGCAGAATGCTGTAATTGCATATGTTGCGCCCATAAGAGATTTAATTGGAATCCTCATAATGGACCCTGGAATGCAGGCTTCGAGCCTCACCTTGTGCAAGTGGCTTGCGCATTGTCTTTCTCTATCTTCAAGTTGCTTTTTGAGCTTAGCTAATGTCTTCTGTTGATCCACCACCTCTTGAACAAATTGACTGTTCTTCGCTTCCAAATGAGATATCTTTCGTTCTTTCTGTTCAAGTTCTGCATTCTGCGAGAACCACTTGAAACAGTAGGTCAATTACAATGCAGTCAAGCGTACGACACCGTCATTTTTGCGGGATAAGGTTCTTCGTAATGCAGAACAGGAGGAAGCTCAATATGAAGAAGCAAAAACTCTTCGTGGCCGTATGCTTTCTGTGGGAATCAGAAGAGAAAAGTTATCAGCTCCTGCTACCTGGAAGGCTGTAGGATGGAAATCTATCTGTGGAGTATGGATTCTATTTCAGCAGTGATTATGAAATGATCAGTCACCTCTTCTTCTTCTCGCTGCTGTAGAAGTCTCTGAATGTTCTCTTCGTTCACTCTTTCTTGTCTGCAATTTCATTCAACAGCAGGTATCAGCAGGTTTGAAAGGTTCTTGACCTAATTTGTAGTAACCCAGAGTCCAATCGACGGAACGTGGACATTCTTCGAGCCTAGTAGTTTGCACTATTCGGTGAAGAACAAATCGTAGACAGGACAACATTTTCATTTTTCTCCGCGCACCGAACAGCAGCATTCACATCCTGTCTTTGGGACGTATGCCGCTTCTAAAAGCTTTTGGGTGGCGATAGTCTCCCATTCTAACGGCTGGAATATGATTCGCATTTTCGGATGTTGAGTGGGCCGAACATCGTGTGTCCGGAAAGCTTAGATGAGATTGAACGTAGCTTGTAATGCATATGGTGTCAATCTGATCTATTCAGGCGCAAGGTCCAATTGTAGCTCTTTTGCTCAAAATTTTGAAGGCAGATGTTTCACACACCTGTCAAGCTCACACTTCTTCGCATGTAGGGCCTTTTGCAGCTGGATGATCACTTGATCCTTCGACTTCAGAGCATCCTCCCAATTCTTACGAGCAATGGCTCCTCTATTTACAACACTAATGTGCTGCTCTCGGAGCTCCACCAGCTGCAACTCTTTCTCATTTAAAGCTGCTCTCAAGCTCAACAACTTGTTCCCATAGTTCAGATCTACCCTACTGATAAGGTCATCGTCATTGGCATTAGAAGGATCATTATGACCAGGAGTTCTGCTCACCCCATGTTTCTTTGCAGAGGCTCGTTTCCGATGAGTAGTGCCACTTGCAGTAAACATGTGGTTTCGCTATGCTTCCGTAATGCGCCGTTTGTGTTACCAGCTTGTCTGTGTTTCACTCTTGGAAGGGGCCAGAGGCCCGGACTCCTGAAACTACACATCAAGAAAGACGACGGCTTCGGAGCCGTACAGCCTCATGTGACGTTTTTTCACAGTCCTTCGAAAGTAAGCTCATGTGTGTTTCTGTAGACAACGCTGGCTAAATTTCTCCTCATTGTTCTGCTTCATGTAAATTAATATCTAATATGTTGCATTCTTTGAGCATCGTGACACAGTAGACGCGTGGAGCGACATTGCTCATCTACCGATAATTCCAAGAGAGGACACCCGAGCCACAGAGGACATCGGAAAGTTGATAGCATGTATCCTGCGTCGGCCATGCTGCGTATGACTCACTCCAAGAAGAACATTGGGTTCTCAACCAGTCAATTAAAAGCGGAAGCGCGTTTGTCCCTCTTCGTTCTGCTCCAATATTCCACCGTCTTAAGAAACGACCGCGAGCAACACCAGGACCTCAAGCACGGATTTCAAGAGCACATCATCCCTTCCCCGACAAGAGCTAGTAAGCCATGTCACTGAGTGCTAACGCCTTCTTAAACCTCGGGTTCTGATAGTGCCAACAATCAGCACGAGCGATCAATTTGATCGAAGATAATCAGACCGCAGTCGTCGAAAGATCGGTGGTACCACCAGGTGGCTGCTCGATCGCAGAGCGAACACTCTCAATCTCTTCGCATTCCTGAAACGCACGAGAGCGAGCGCATGCGCAAAACTACTGTTTGATTCCCAAATTTATGTCAGCTTTAAACCTAACGGAATTGCGCCCGCATCTCCACGATGTGAAACAAAATTCGCGTGTTTCTCACCGACATTCCCTTAATTTCCTTTCCGAAACCGCAGTCAAAGAAGAACCAGAATTTGGCCAATTGTACAGCCAGATCCTGTGTCTCGGTCAAGGAGCGAAGACGTACGAAGCATGCCTTCGTTAGGAGTCTGCGTCTCTGCGGTTAGTTTCGTAATGCCGTAACTGCCAGGATTGTCCCGAACCTCACTCCTGACCTCCTACCGCGGTCCCAAACTAGGCCGAAAACAGACCGTTAAAGGTGCGAAGATTCGTCGCCCAGTACACTGCTGCATAGCACTGTCGTCACGGAGGATGAACGAAGTTACTGCGATAATTAAGTCAACAGAGAATTAAACTCATGAATTATTATCTTGCATGAGTGGTCTCCGCCATGGTGCCTTTTATCCCGCAGATATCCATTTTCCAAGTTCTATTTCCCCTTATTGAGATGCCATCGATAATACGACATCCAACAAGAACTAAATGTGCTACTGCATTACTTGTGCATTATCTCTTATGTGAAGAATTCCACTTCCTTTTCTTTCATCTCAAAATTTTGACTTTTGAATGAAGATGATACGAACATTGGTTATGACTACCAACCATGGGAATACCAATCGCTGTTAGCATGTTGTTTTGCCAATTACCATCTGCCAAAAATCTACATTTGATTGGATAATATGTTTGAAATTGGGATATATATAAGATAGTTCAATGTTAAAACGACCACATCTAATATTAAAACTACCAAAAACGTGTCACGTCAAAAACAAATTTGCAAAGAAGATCAGTTATTTTCTGAAGATCTTGTATCTCTCCTAGCTACTTCTTCTTTGGGAGATTCAGGAGCTCTTGAGGGCAAGGTAGAGCCTGATGGGTGTGGGGATCGTATGCAGAGACATTCTTAGTCTAAGTGCTCCGAGTGCCCGCAATCTGTCATCCCGTCTCGGTTTCGTGCGGCCATATTTGTTGAAGAGTTTGATGGAAACCAGACAATACTGCTTGTTAGCATACTGTCTTACCGTCTCGGTTTTGTGCGGCCATATTTGTTGAAGAGTTTGATGGGAACGAGACAATATAGCTTGCGACCAATCTTGTTTGCGCCAGGAGGAGATAAGATTTGGTTGGTGTGAATGCCAAAAAAGCTGCTGGATGCGAGGAGGGCGACCAAGTCCTTTGACAAGACCTCAAAAGTGTTAAAAGCAAGCCTACTTAAAGTCGACGCATATCAAGTGCGCAAAAAATAAAACAAAATATGTAATAAAAAGGTGCCGAAAGAAAAGACTGTTTTCTTGCTATGATATTTGTCAATTCAATGTCTCGTGGACGTTCAAAGCAGTTTGTTGTCTTCCAGGAAAAATATTGCAATGAGTATGTACTGAGAATTACTTCTCGTGATGCCGCTTCTTGAGAAGTGATCTCTGTAGTGTGTTTGTTTTGCATTGTTTTCGGTCGAGATGCTAATGTTAAAGCCAAGGGCAAGAGATGCCCCAAGTATTGGTCGACTGGTTTGTTCCGTGTGGACAACTACTGCTCTCATATGCATTCTCAGCATGCTTCCAAGTATAATGAATATCAATTGTTGAACTCCACCGATGATCTTCTTGCTTTTTTTCAATCTATCAAAGTGACTTATATGAACACCTTGCATGCACATTTTGTCAACGAAGGAGATGGGTTGTGTTTTTGGATTAACAAATCGATTGTCGAGACAATCATTGGAGAAATGTTTTTTCATCCAGATGATATCGAAGGCGTGACTCATACGCGAGCTCTGACTATTTTCCAAATTGTAGATAAAGATAAGATCAATGGACTTGAAGTTTATTTTGCTGAAATCAAAACAGAAAAGTTGTTTCAATTGGCTATCAAGTTGGTTGCTCTCGGTGATTCTTTTCGCAGCGTCAGTCGCCAACTTCAAGTGATTCGAGATGAATCTAGCATCGCGACTTATGGAACTGCTTCTGATGTCACCGTGTCGAACTACATTCGAATTTGTATGGCTGCAACTCTGCAAAAGGTGTCTGAAATCATGGAAAAGTCTTGGGCAATCTCAATTGAATTTGATTGCTCAACGCATCATAGCCGGTCAAATCTCGACATGCGTGTTCGATTTTTTTGCGAGAAACACCTATGTAATTATCATTCGATTGCATTTTCTATGTTCAAACGCCATATTGCTGCAAATATGTCAGACCTAATTGTGAAATTCTTCGATGTCTTGTTCCCATACTAGAGATATGTTATTGTTGGATAGTCAACAGATGGTGACAGGTCCATGACTGATAAAATTCGATGAGTTGTTACAAGCTGCCGGGAATTGTTGCCGGGAATTGTACGAGTGTGATGTGATTTGCATCAATTCGATCTTGTGATGTAGGCGGTATTTGAGGCCACTTTCAATGAGAATTTTCTTGGTTTGTTGAGAAAACTGATTGGCTTCTTGAGATGGCATCAAAACTTGAATCAACTCAATGAGAAGTGAATGTCCAAAGTTTTGCAGTTTACATTGGATTTCAATGGGCAAAGTGCTTTCATGGCTTGTGCTTCACCGTGTAGAGGTCCAGCAATACTTACTAAAGAAAACTTAGAGCGGACCCCTTCAGATTCTTGGTGGATATTCACGTATACAATAAATGCAATTGTGAATGAAGCGAACATTGTCTTTTAAGAGCTACAAGGAATGAAAGTGTTAATATCGCAGCATTGTATGCGATTAAAAGAGTTGGTTCATTGACAAGAGGCTTATTCAAGGTGACACATGCGCATGTACGGTCATATATGGACGGCCTTGATGTTGGTTTTAGTGACTATAAATCAAATGGAAGAAAGTACTTCAAACCACCTTGTGTCATGCGTTTGTGTTGTATTTGTACATCTTGCCGACAACATCTCTGCTATTGTGGCTGAACGAGATTCTTGAAATGATGCTCGTGAAGAGTTGCCAACTGTATTGCCACACCAGCTTGTTGCTTCTGATATGTGTGCACTCGTACGAGAACTCGATGTACATAATACGCGTCTCAAGCGATGCTTTTCAAATTATGAGATTCAAAAAATCGACCAAGATTATGCAGACATGATAAGAACCGTTCGTATGGAGCTTGAACTCAATGCCTCTTTGAATGCGATGACGAACACTGCAACTTCTTTTGAAGATGCAGGGAGTGTTTTTGGATCTAGATTTCAAATGTTGAAAGAGTTTTGTAATGACTCTGCAACTATGATCTCAAACACAGCAACGGTTGAGAGTGATTTTTATCGTCTTGGATTGAAGAAGAATGAGTATCGCAAATCTTTAACATATTTCTTTTTGGAAGTATTACTTCATTCTAAACAGTATTTCAATTTGTTTGACCGATAAAAATGGCTCACAAATATATTTATATGGGATTTGTTTGCACCAAAAGTAAACCCAATATTATTTTTATTCAGCGCATGATTTAGTTTTTTTTAGGGCATCGACGCGCGTCCAATTTAGAAAAGGTTGGTAATAAGGGTTTTTTTTTAGTATTTGATGTCCCTGATAGCAAGGAGTATGGAGAGGGCCTCGAGAATGAGCTTGCAAGAGAGCTAATCAATCATTTGTTGCAGGGCAATGACTAAGTCCATGAAAGTATCAACTCACACGATGTTTTTTTCACAAGAAGGAGGAGGAAGCCAAATACACTCTCCGAGTTAAGACTTGTACTTGTGTGCAAAAAAAATTGTTTTGATAGATCATGTGACCGCGAGATGTGTCTTTGATCTCATTGTCGTTGTTTTAACAATTTGTGTGGTCATTTTAACATTCCCCATAAGATATTGTGCCTCTTTGATTCTCTTCTAACGGTTGATACAAATTGTAAACAAACTTCTGATTACATAATAATCTGAACATGCATTAATTGATTGTATGAGACGCAATACACGTATTCGCTAAAAGATAAAATTTGAGTTACTTTGTTGTTGTGATGAGTATTGTGGATATTCGAAGCAAATTGCTAATTTCAGATTTCACCTCAAATCAATGTTCTTTACATTTGTTACAATTAAAGTTAGATTTCAAATAGTGCAAACAATAAGCATTCTGAGCGATATCATGTCTTCAACTCGATAAAGTTACATCATTATCATTGTTGGACATAACACTAGTAGTATGTGGGCTATCACATCATTAATGTATTTTTTTTGTTAAAAATTTGCATAACATGTAAGATTTCAATTATTCGTATATGTAATATTAATTGATTATTTTGATCAATAAAACAAATGATAATTTATTATCCAATTAGTAAATATATTATTGAAATTATATAAATAATATATTATTGAAAATAAATTATCAATCAAAAGATACTATTTGTCAAAAACTTAAAGCAAGCAAAAAATTTACATCATGGCCAAGATTTCAGATAAAGAGCTACATGGGATAAATGATATTTTTAATTAATCTGAACATTTAGAAATTATATAGATGTCAATTTCAAATAATCTTAAAATTTTGAATTAAAAATATATTTAAAAAGCATTTTTATATACTTAAATTTAATTTGGAGGAAATATGCATCAAAATCAACTCACCTGTACTCTTGATATATTAATAATTTCTAATGAATTCATACATTTTACAATCATTGTAAATCAATGTTAATTTATGTCATGATTCATATTATCATGCTTGCATTGAAAAAGATGAATAGCTATTGATAAACATTTGTATCATGACTTCCACATAAACTACAAAACATAACTTCACATACATTGTGTGACAATGCATATTGAACAAATTTTAAGCATTGTAAAAGTAAAATGAAACATTGGTATTACATTTCATCTGATTAGAATATATATATATATATATATGCACATTTTTTTAATTCATGCCATAAAATCAAGGTGGCATAATCCTGTTACATCTGATAATATGTTTACTCCTCAGTTCATATTTTCTTCTTCATTTTAAATTTAAATGAAGTTTTATCTTATAATACATTTATATTTTCACTACATTAATTTTTTATGACTGAAAAAAATTTATGTTGAAAAATTTCAGTTAAAAAGTGTATTATAAAATCAATATTGAAAAAAAATCATCAAGAATTAAAATAATATTCAAATATAAAAAGTATGATTTAAATTTTAAAAATTAACAATATCAATGATATAACAAT